CTAAATTAAGTGTACGCATTAACATTTTAAGTGGGAGAAAACCATGCAAATCTCTGCTAACTTATTAAGAGGCACCCATCTGCACCACCGCTTGTTTCAGATGATCTAGAGCATTTTATTATTTCTGGTTAAAAATCGCATTGACAAAAGTGAAAAACTGTTTTTAACATTGGACAATATTCGGTTGGATCATATATTGCCATTTGAATAGCTCATCCTAGGAAATGCACAAAATACCATTTCAAATGTAATCCCCAGTTTGAAGGCATTATTTGAAGATGCATTTGCTAGAGGCTAGATCTTTTTTTTTCTCCCAGACCTGTCATCCACTTCTGGAGCGCTTAAAATAAAGTCCACAGATACAGAGTAAGCTGAAACAGTCAAGAAGCAATATAATACAGAAATGTTGTGAGTGAAGTGTGTTACTCAGATCTTTCTAAAGTACATTTCTGCCTTTATTCTGAAGGCCACAGCACTGGCAACTCGGACTAATGCAAGTAATGGAACCAATCTCTCCCTTTGATCATCAAAAAGGTTATCTTTTTGTAAACTAGGACCAACTAGTTTGGCACTGTGGTCAGAGCAAACATAAAAGAAAAAGGTTTAATTATCTTTCAATAAAGAATGATTTATTTTCTTTTAACAAAACGCTCAGTTGCTACAGCTTCTGTTTGTGACCATCATGCTGCCCGCAACACATATAGCCCGCGGTGTATGTAATGTGTGGCGTTTGTATATATCCTCCTAAGGTGAAATTGCAATTTGTACGTTTAACCTGGAAGGCAAAACAAAGTGGATACACTGAAGCTTGTCCTCCGCGATTTACAAATTCAGTCACCCAGCGGAGCTTGACTTCTTCAATGAAAGGGGAGGTGAATTGACAAGAGTTCGGTGCAAGTTTGTAAACAGTCGGATCGTTTCAAAGGAGCTAGTCAAGATATAAATACAGAATGACACAGGTGCTTGTTAGACATGAAGGTATCAAGGAAAACTGCTAATTCACCCTCTTATATGAGAGACACCTATTTCCTATGTATATCTTACAATGGATAAAACATGAGGTTAAGAAACTGGTATATTTATTGCACAGGCTGCCTATGTTTTTTGCCTTTTCTAGTTTAATATGAGAGTTATTGGATGAGAGTTGGCCTGTGTGATACGGAAGGTCAGGCTGGGCGCCCATAATAGCTGTCTCTAGCCTTGAAGTGCATCATTTGTGAGCTTTTTATTTTTAAGGCTTCAGAATGAGACACTTTAAAGTTGGAAAGTCAAGAGTGGAACTGAAGAGAATTGAAGTATTTGCGTCATTTAGCTTTATAGGCTCCATTAGTTTTATATAAGTTACTGCCGCCTTACGCCGGTATGGGAGCAGAATCAGGGATTATGTATTCAAAGAATTTCTTGAGGCATTTTTCTTTAGGCAGAAAAGGCATGTGAGGTTTTCAGGAGGAACTCAGAGCTGCACATTGAAAATAATCAGAAGAAAGACACAGCAAATACTAGGAATACAATGGGGATAGAATAAAGGTTGAATGGAGGAGAAAGGGAGGCTTATCCTGACCCAAAGGTTAAAAGCAAGGGCATATCAGGCTTGCACATCACAAATTTTGAGGAATAAGGGAGGTTCTGAATCATTATTGCAAAACACTGAGTCAAAGCATTGATTCGCCCAGATGATTTTTACACAGCTGGAATGAGCAAAAATGAATGGGCATTAATGTACTACAGGCAATGGCAAAGCAGTGGCTAGGGCAGCACGAATGGATTTTTTGAGAGCAAAGGATTAGCCGAGATCCCAAAGTACAGATGGTCTTGGATGAAATAATCACATAGGTCTCAAGGGAGGAAGCAGGGTCCATAGTTGGCCACATTGTAGAAGGAAAAGCGAGATATAACTAAGTGAAGACTAATGAACAGCAGGTCCCAAGTGAATAATCTCGCTGTGTTTTGGAGTAGCAAAAAGGACCCTGCTGAAAAATCAAATGTTGAATACAAAGTTTAGATAATTAACCAGATCCTAGGCCTTTGTTAGTGGGAATTACTTTGGGCTAGGGGAATGTTTTCTCTTTATAAATGCATCTGCCTCCAGAAACTAGCCAGAAATATCAGAAAATATGGCAAAATTTTAGACAATTTTCTGGGTTTAGATCCATRAGGTGATGCAGGGGCAGGAACTACTTAAGTTATAGACTAAGCTTTAACTCTTTAAAAGGTTTCTCCCCTCTATGGATGCCATCTGCCTTCTCCTCCCACAGGCTCTCCCTGCTGCTGGCAGTAGTAGGAGCCCCCAAAGCGCATTGCCTCTCCGCACTGCCTCTTTATGTGCTGGACCTGCGGCAGCCAACATTAACAGGTCTCCTGTGACAACACCAGTCACCTGGAGATGCCTCTAGTGCAGAGCTAGGCAGCTCTGAGTGGGGGTCCCACCAGTGCCCCCAGCTCCTGCCTCTGCGCTGCTGCTCGGGGCCCTGCTTGGCCGCCCTGAACGGCAGCAAAGCCGTGAGAAGGCAGCAGAGCCAGGGCTCAAAGACCTGTGGAGAAGGGTGTCCTGAGCAAAGACACGGGCAYGGGGAGAGTATCCGCTCCAGGGAAGCTGCAGGAAAAGGAAGGAGCGTTTTCCACCCTTGTGTGGGCAGCCGCATCCCATGCTCGGAGCTTCGCGCGCCCTTTTGCCTGGAGCATCATGCATGGAGTCGTGTCTCCATTAAGCCATGCTTTGTGTTCAAAAGACCTCTCCGTAGACGTGTGTGGCTACTCAAACGGAGCTCTTCAGACCTCTTCCCTGCAGCCAGACTCCCATTTTGATCATATCAAGGCTGTCTGGGTTTCATTTAACCCTTCCTTTTTGAGTGGATTTGTCTTGAAAAGCATGAAAAGGCTGGGCTCCCRGGCTACCTTACCTCTTCAAGAGCCAAGGGAAGGTAAGTGCCTRGGTTTTTTAGCTGCACCAAATTTATCCCTAATGCAACACACTGAGATAAAGCTTCCGACATCAATGTAGCTGTACCAATCTTTCAAGCGACCGCCTGGATTCTAAGTCATAAATAAATTTTTGCTTTCCTGTGAGAAAAGTTCCCTGCAATACCTTCAAATAATCTCAAGTGTGCAGGCAATGGCAACTGGAGTTTATGCAAGTGAAGAACATGGGTATTGTCACCAGCAGAGCCAAATCACCCACACATTTGGCAGCAAACAAGGCAGGATTTGGGCGTGAAGAGCACTCCAGCGTCGCCAGTTTTGCTTGTCTGGATGGCCAGCCAGGCCCAAGGGAAAATAAGGAGCTAATGTGCAATGGTGGYGCTGGTTCTGGACGGCCACACTGCTGAGATGCCTCAAAAAGGGAGGAGAGGGTGTTGATGGGGGCAGAAGGCGGGATGCTGCGAGCTCCTTCGCTCGGAGGAGGGAGCTTTGGGACCGCAACCTGCGGCCGCAGGCGGGGCAGGAAGGGCCATTGCGGAGGGGGACGCTGGAAAGGATGATTTATTATTATCGTTATTATTATTTTTATTCTGCCCCCCCCCCCCTCCCCCGCTGCCCCATTGGCAAAAAGCGCCGCTGGCCGCACATACGTGCGCGCTTCGCACACGCGCTTAATTACGCGCTAACGAGAGGAGCAGGTAACAGCAGCAAACTCGGGCGCCTCCACTTCCACATTCATTAAAACGGGACGATTGCCATTTCTATTCTTTTCGAGTTCTCTCTCTCTCTTTTTTTTTTCCCCCCATCTATTTACCATTTACCAGCTCATCCATATGGAAGGCATGGCTTACACTTCCTGGAGAACTGTACTTTTAGGACTAATTGATTCTGGTAATTAATTTGTTCTACCTGCTGGATCAGATGGAAACGCTGTCCGTGCGCCCAAGGATTAGCACTTGCCTTTCTAACATCTTTCCTAATTATCTAATAGCATGGGTTGCGAGATTTCTGGCTCTATTAGAACACTTTTACTATTAACGGTAGTGATTGGAATTGTGATGACAACTCGATTTCAACAAATTAGAGCTTAAAATCAGGAGATGAAGGAGAAGAGCCTTCTTTTAATTTCCCCGAGTTTAACATCAATAATTAGAGCAATTTTCCGAGATGCGAACCGAAATTATCTCGGCTATGATGTGGTATATCACCCTCATTTTAGCAAATTGACTCCGGGGAAATGAATGTTACGGATTAGGGGAAAAAAAAAGACAAACAGAAAAGAAAAAAAAATATATCAAAAAAGGTGTTAGGGCAAGAGTGAGCGGCGCAAGGAGGGAGCAAGACCCCAGCGGGGCAGTACCCCGAGCCGAGGGGCGCAAGCTGCTTGCSGGACTGCTGCAGGGGGGACAAGTGTGTGAAGTGTGCGACAGGTCGGGAAAGCGCACGGTCRCTGTTTTTGTATAAGTTGATGGCTATCTTAAGTGTGTATATATATATACGTGTGTGTGTGTGTGTGTTTTGGACGATGTCCAGACGGACGGGGTCCCGCGCTGCCGCGGGGGCTGCGGCCCGGGGCGCTGCGGGCCCGGGGGGCAGCGCGGAGCCCCCGCGCCCCCTCCGCGGGTTTGGGTGGCCCGCGGGGCCGGCACCCCCGCCCGCCCGGCGGCGATTGGCTCGCTGGAGAGCCCCTTTCCCGCGGCGCCTCAAAGGCGCGCAGCGCCCGCGCAGCGCCCGCTCTTCCCGGCGGCGGGCAAGGCGCTCGCCCTGCGCCCGGGGGCATCCGCAGCGCCGCATTTATTAACACTTTTTTTTTCTTTACTTTTTATTTCTGATTTTTATTTATTTTATTTKTATTTATTTTATTTGTATTTATTTTTATTTCATTTATTCTATTTTTCCATTTATTTTATTCATTTTAGTGTTATTTATTCTAATTTTATTTATTTTAATTTTATTTATTTAACTCATTTTTATTGTCTCTTTCTTTTTTTTCACCTTTTTTTTTCTGCGGGAGGCGCCGCCGGCCGCAGCTCCCTCGCCCACCGCGGCGGCCGGCGGCGAGGGGGGGTCCCGCGCCMGCCATGAACCTCAACTTCGCGCCGCCCGTGCACCCGGCGCCGCGTCCCACCTCCTTCTTCATCGAGGACATCCTGCTGCACAAGCCCAAGCCCCTGCGGGAGGTGCCCGCCGAGCCCTTCGGCGCCTCGCTGGCCTCCCGGGTGCCGCTCCTGGACTATGGCTACCCCCTGGTGCCCGCGCCCACCCTCCTGGCCCCGCACCCGCACCCCGCGCTGCACAAGCCGGAGCACCCGCACCCCTATTTCCTCACCGCCTCGGGTAAGTGCCTGCCCTCGCCGCGGCCCCGCGGGGCAAGAGCAAACCTCGAATTTATTTTGTCGTCACTTTTATTTGTATTTGTATTTTCGTTTTTATTTTTATTAGGGGTTCAGGGTAACGTTTCTTCTTTTCTCTCGCTCCGCTTTCCTTTCCCCCGGCGCTTCCCCCGCGCTGGGGCCCGAGCGCGCAAGGAAAGCGGCTCTGCGCTGCGTCCCACTGGGCAGCGAAAGTTGCGCGCGGAGGAGGAGGAGGGTGTCGGGGCTGCCTGCATCCTGCCCGCTCCCCTCGCAGCCTCCTCCGCGGCTCCCCCGTTTTTTCCGCGTTTATTTCGTTTTGGTTTAACTGCGGGCCGCGTGGCTGTGGCGGCCGTGCCCCGCGCAGCCCCGCGCACAGAGAGCACCGAAGCAGACGGCTCTGTAACGCGAACTCCGCCGCAGGGGTGCCCGTGCCCGCGCTGTTCCCGCACCCCGCGCACGCCGAGCTGCCCGGCAAGCACTGCCGCCGCCGCAAGGCCCGCACCGTCTTCTCCGACTCGCAGCTCTCCGGCCTCGAGAAGCGCTTTGAGATGCAGCGCTACCTCTCCACGCCCGAGCGCGTGGAGCTGGCCACGGCGCTCAGCCTCTCCGAGACGCAGGTACCGGCCCGGCCCGCAGCCTCCGTGCCCTGCGGCTCTGTCCTGTCCTATCCTATCCTATCCTATCCTATCCTATCCTATCCTATCCTATCCTAGTCTATCCTATTCCATTTCATCCCATCCTAGTCTATCCTATCCTAGTCCATTCCATTCCGTCCTGTCCTATCCTATCCAAGTCTATTCTATCCTATTTTATCCCATTCTGTTATATCCTATTTTATTTTATTCTATCCTATGCAAGTCTATCCTATCTTATTATCCTATCTTATCCCATTCTATCCTATTTTATTCCATTGTGTATTATCCTTTTTTTTTTTTCGTTTTATTCCATTCTGTTCTATCCTATTTTATTTCATTTTATTCTATCCTATTCCGTTCCATCCTGTGATATTTTATTCCATTCTACCCTCTCCTCTCCTATTCTATTTTATCCTGCTCTATTGTATCCCTTCCTTTCCCTCCTCTGCTTCTCCCAGGTGAAAACCTGGTTCCAGAACCGGCGCATGAAGCACAAAAAGCAGCTGAGGAAGAGCCAGGAGGAGCCGAAGGCGGCGGGCGGCGAGGAGAGCGGCGGGCAGAGCTCCCCGGAGCCCGAGCTGCCCGAGGGGGCGGCCGAGCCCCGCCAGGGCCCCCCCGGCGCCTTCCTGCTGCAGGAGCCCGAGGACGAGGTGGACGTGCTGGAGGAGGGGGACGGGGGCAGCGGCYCCCACCGCCTCTAGGAGCGCGGGGGGCAGCCGAGCGCCGCCCCGGACCCACGAGCGGCCCCCGGTCCCGCTGCCGCCGCGCGGGGGACGCGGGGACACGATCCGCGCACAGCCCCGGCCCCGCGGGCGGGCACCGGCCTCAGCTCGGCCTGGGGGAGAGACAACATTAATTTAATAACAATAATAAATTAAGGGGGGTGATGGTGAAGAGGGCGAATTGCCGCTGAGCCCCTGCCGCTCGGAACAGTTGGCTTTCCTCCGCGCCCCGCATTTCCCGCGGTGCCAATAAACGTGTCCCCGTGCCCGTGTGTTGTGGTTACTGAGTGCGGCACTGAGGGTGGCACCGTGGGCTCGGCAGGGACACGGGGACGGGACAAGCGGCCCGGTGCCGGAGACTTCCCGGCGCTCGAGGAAGCACCTGCGGCTCCGGCCTGATGCCAGGTGGGAAGCGAGTGCTGGCTGATTCCCTTCCTCATTAAAGACCCTGCCGGCCCCCTCCCACCTTCCCTCTGTGCTGCCCCGGCGAGCAGCGCTGCTCCCTCCCCGGGACACAGCCAGGGACACCCGCTCGCTTCGCCTTCCTCCTCCCGCCAGGGAAACGGGTCCCCTTCCAAGGTAATTTCCGCGGTTTTTTTTCCCTTCCTCTTTAATGCCTTTTCTTTTTATTTTCTTTTATGTATTTCCTTCTCTGGTGGAGGCTCTGCACCTCCACAGCAGCGCTGGCACTTGCAGCAAAAGAAGCCCGAGAGGGTCGGGGCTGCTTAAGAGGCGCTTGTGCAGCCCCTCGGCTTGCTGGAGTCTCACCAGGTTATTTATTTATTTTTATCCGTTTGCCTCYCATGAGAGGATTTGTTTGCTCGGGGTTGGTAGCCCCCCCCCTCTTTTTTTTTTTCCTCCCCCCAAGGCGTTTTGGAAACGCAGGCTTCGCAGGCTTGCGAAGCAAAACGTGTACCTGCTCTCTCTCCACACCCTAGGCAATGAAACTGGGCAACTGGGTGCATTTTGTGGGTCTGTGGTTCACGTAAAATAGTAAAGATCACAAGTTAAGGGGAAAAATCCTTTATCTTGAAAAGGGCTGGTTGTCTCTCCATAGTGTTTGCAAAAAAAAAAAAAAACCCCAAAAAACCCCAGTAATTTTCATCACCACTTTTGGCAACAATGCGACGCTAAAAATTGTAATCCAGAGGGAAGTCCAATCGATTCCCCTCGAGGCTGCGCTGCGGCTTGGCTCCGCACCGGGAATCTCGCCTTGTGCAGCCCAGGATGGAGATGCTCCCTTGGCCCCGGCTGGTTCCTCCTCCTCTTGCCCACCCCGTATTTTGTTCGTTTTGCTACGTGTTGCGTGTCAGCGAATTTAAGTAGGCGCTATTAAAGGTGATTCAGACGAGCAGATTTCCCCAGGACAATTTATTTGCGGCCAGTCTGCTCTGCGCAGCGAGTGGCGCTGGCGGTGCAGGAGGGGGTCACTGCACATCACCCCCCACGGGGTCCCCGCTGCTGTTTGACAGCGCTGGGCAGCGAAGGATGGAAAGGAATGGAGAAAATTCCCTCTTTGGAGAGGCAGAGTATTGCAAGCAAGTGCGGAGATGCAATCTTAAACAAAATACACCTGAAGGAAAGGGTCATTAAATATCTAGTTGTTAAATAAATTTGCGTGTGGCTCCTTTTACTTGCAGGAGGAACTTGTAATTCTCTTTATAACTATTATTATTATTGAAAACAAAGGCATGGAACCGCGCTCCGACGTGCAGGACCCGTGCAGAAGCGGGGCAGGAGGAAGGGCCAGGCTGCTGGGCAGGCACCGCGGGCAGGAGCGCGGGACACGCGTGCCCACACACCAGGGCAGCGGAGTCAGTCGCCGTTCCCATGTCCCCGCGGCTCCCGCGTCCTGCGAGCAGGCGACAGCCGCAGTGCCGCGCGCTGCCGGGCGGCGCCTCTGGATGTGCTCGGAGGGCAGCGCAAGCCAGGGGGTTCCCATCGCTCCAGCGCCCCCAGAACTAGTGCTTGCTCTGCAGTAGCAACGCTGGGGCATTTGCGTGCTGGGGGGTCAGCGGTGCCTGTGGCCAAMCCCAAAAGTCCCTTGGCATTGGTGTGTCGGGCTGAGGTGCCGCAGCGAGGCACTGGGAAGATCCCGCTCCCCTTCCTGCCGCCAGCGGCAGGGACAAGCAAACCTTTAAGGACGGGCCAGAAGGCATCGAAAGGACCAGGGCAGGTCAAGGCGCCGCCGCCTGCAGCCCGAGGGCGGCAGCGGAGCGCGGAGCGGCTCCCGCGGCGGCGCGCGCCGAGCCGCGGCTGCTCCCCGCGGGAAGCGGCGCCGGAGCGGGCCCGGCGCGGCGGCTCCTGCTCCCGCACCGCGCTGGGCGAGCTCCGCGGGGCGCCCCCCGAGCCTGCGGACCCGGGGAGGGCCGCGGCAGGAGGCCGGCTCGCCGGGTTTCGAGATTTTCCTGTTAGAGTGAAGGGAATGGGTTTTCATTCCCTGCTCCTGCCTTACTCCAGGGAAACTGCGGGCTTCGGCTCTCCYCCGGCTGTCCTCCTCAAGCTTGAAGAGGAGCTGCTTTCTTTGGAACTGTCCTTTCCCCCTCCTATTTATTATTCACATTTGATTAGGAAGGGTTAGGATAGAAATGGTAGGGAAGTATTGGTTTTGATGGATTTCCTATTTCTCAGGGTATCACTGAAGTTTTAGCTTTTATTACAGATTTTTCTCTGTGCTTTCTAAAATGAAATCATGGGTTTTAATTTCCATTTCAGTGGCAACTGTTGGTTGTGGTTTTGTTTAAGGAAAATAAAAGATCTGTCTGTAAAACCTTCCTGTGGATTTTTTTTCTTTTGGAATATTTTACCCTCTTTCCCTCTTGATGTTTCTAATTTTTATGAGGCAGAAAAGAGGTTCCAGCCCAAGTTTTTCTTTCTATGGCCAGAGCTAAGCAAAAGCAGTTCAGATGTGYAGACTCGGACTGTATGGGCAGTGGGAGAGAGGACCATTTGCAAGGTAGAGCCACTGAACAGACATGTGGTATCAGCCTTGAGGGTGCTGTGAGCACTTGGTGAAGGTGTAGATAAGATACAACCAGCTCTAGCAAGCGATGCAGTTGCTTGAGCTGTGTGAAATGCTTTTGTCCTCTCCTCTGTTTTTTGGCTTTGCTAGTGAGGCCAATGGAGGGTATGAGCTGAGTGGGCAGGGCTGGGSCAGGTGGCACTCGCAGGATGCTGCAGTCTCACAAGTGTTGTACCTTCCTGTGATGACAACGTTGTTCTGCCTCCCCAGTCACAGTAACCAACAGCATCACCTTAATTAACCACGGACTTCTGCCTGGGTGCTCTTGCTAGGCTTACCAAGGGGCTTATTTCTGCCTTGGATTTATCTGGTTTCTAAGTGGTTTAAATTAAACCATAATAAGCTTGGGTGAAACATTTCTTCTTCCATTGCCTGTTGAAGATGCAACAAAGCTCTTGTGTTAGTCTTATGTGGGAGCAGTGTGACTGGAAAGGCTGATCAGAGGTACCAGGGAGTGTTATTTTCTTCTAGTTCTGAGGAACTAGCTCAGAAGTCTGTACTATGCTCTACAATGAAATGAGGATAAGCTTGGTGATGGGGAATGCTCTCCAGATCTGGCGCCGTGCAGGAAGRACAAGCTGCAAAGATTGGCAGGGTGTTTATTGCGGAAGGCTTGGCCAGCTGAAGGACAGGCTGGTGCATGGGGTAGCTGCTGGTGGGTCTGTATTCATGCAGCAGTAGCAATGCACTGTATCTGGTGACAAAGGCTGGAAGATGCAAAGCAAAAGAGAGGAGTGATCTGGCAATGCAGTGCTGGTGTTCAGCTAGTTTTTTAAGGAAGATGGTGAGATTAACTTGTGATAATTGGTTAACTCATAATGTCCTAGGGTTCTAAAATGCTCTGAATACAGGTAAGCAGCTGAGTTCCGTGCCCTGCTTTCTTGAGACGTTATTGCAACTACTGCAATTGCTTTCCGAAGGAAGGACTCTTCTCCGTGCTGTGTGCTGGCTTTGCTGTGGAGGGGACACAAGCACTGCAGTGATCCTGCAGTGATCCTGGTGCCACACAGAAAGCGAGCCCCGTGGCATAGCTGCCTGCTCTGCACTCGCGCCTATGCAGAGCTCCCGTTGAGCTGCTGGGTGCTGCTTTAGCATCTGCTCTCTCCAGGTTTTTGGCTCGGTATCACTTCAGCTCAAAGCAGGCCCTTGTGTAAGGCAGGCTGCTTAAACTCACCCCTGCCAGTTGTCACCAGCGGAGGTTGTCTCCATTTACCTGCCTCTGGAGCCACTTTTCCTGTCTCAGAAGTGGTGGGACTGGAAGCAGCCGCCTGAGTTGGTTGTGTTGTCACAGGCTGGCTTATTCTCAAACAGTGTGTGCTTAGGTCTGAGCAACAGTGAGGCGCAAAGGCAATTTTTTTGGTGCTGTTTTAACTTGCTGCAGGAACTGGTGGTTGTCTCTGCTCTGACACTTGCCCGGTGACTGTATGATAGGAGGCAGTTATTTGTGCTCAGGGAGATGATTGCCTCAGTCCCTTTCCTCCTCAAAATATGGAACCAAGTGCTCCCCTTGGTCATTACAACCTTCCTTGTTAGGGTGAKGTGTCTGAAAGAAATGCTGGGCGCTTGCATGGAGTGGCGAGTGCCGACAGGCTCGTGCTCCTCAGACGGCACCATCCCAGACACACAGGCGAGTTGGATGGAGACCTGGCAGTGGGACCCGTGCTCGGGGCACCTCTGCCCTGCGCGCAGCCGTGCGGCAGCCAGGGCACCGCAGCAGCAGGTTCTGCTCCAGCTAAATCTCGCTGGAATACTTAATGCAAAACTCAAGGCCTATTTCTTATTTAAATTCCTCGTCTTCCTAATTTGAAAGGCATTAAGTTTTGGCCTTTGCTTTTAAGCAGATGGATGTTCATCATTTACTTGTATGGGCCCTTTTTGTGCCACCCTATCTGTTTGGTGCAGGAGGAATTTGCATTAGTATTGAGGTAGATCAAAAGATTTTCTTTGCACATATGCTGCAAATAATGTCTTTTCCTGGGGGAAAAATACAGTCTTTTCCAAATGGTTTCTGAGATGATCATGATCAGTGTAATTTTTTAAATCTACCTTCTCGCTCTCCCCTCCCAAAGCAGCATCACATAAATGATACACGGCTTGCTAATAGAAGCATAACATGAGTAGAGATGTTTTTAATGTTTCCTAAGAGTCCCTTGTTTTATTTTAAGAAAATGCACCCACCTGAAAAGACCATCCTAATTCACGGGAGCTCTGAAAGGTAGTGGGATGACAGACAGGGAAGAAGGTGATCAATTAAGACATTAAGCATTTTGGACCACACGGACGCATCTGCATGTCAGCCAAATAATAAGGCCATCAGCTCATTTTCAGGGGGCTGTTTCCTACTTCAACTCAATCCTTAGATCAAAGAGAAAATGTCTGCTTGCATTTTCTAATCAGAAAAGGGATGCTAATTTAGGTTCCTTAATGTGTGGTAGTAAGAGACTTCTTCAATTAACTGAATTCTATAGCTCTGAAAATAAAAAAGGGGGATACAAAGGGAGTCAGGCTGGAAAGGCAGAAGTTCTCGTTAAATCAAAGGTCCAATATTCATTACCTCCAGCATCTGGGGCTAAACACTAAACATGGAGATCATCAAAGGGGATTTAATGGGTTAAATTGAGAATATAATCTAATTAAAATATTAGATACAAGTAAATAGCTCTTTGATATTCGTCTGAAGGTTTCATTAAAATAGGTACTTGAGGCTTGTATTAAGGGGGGATTATCACTTTTAAGCAGAGACAACAAGTTGAGGTTCCCTAATCAGAAATGCCTCAAAGTGTTACCATTTGGTTTAAAAATGAAGCCTGAAAAGCAGACACTGGTGGAAACATTTCCAGCCATCAYGGAGAGCTCATAACACAGGCATGTCCATGCCACAGCTGGGGGGCAAACACTGACGTGTGTGGATCCCACAAGGGAGGAAAGAGCAGGCAGGGGGCAAGGACCAAGGTGGAAAGGAATCAACAGAGCCAAGAGATTCCCGTTGCTCATGTGGGCTGGGAGGGCTTGAAAGGAAGATGTGACTTCCATGTAGAACTGTTGGAAAATTCTTTCCAGGAACTTGTGACACACCCCACCAGTGAAAGGTTAACCCAGAAATGTGCTAAATCTTAATAAATTTATCTCCAACAAAAGCATCTGTAAAAAGACAARATATTTCCAAGATATTAGCTTTTATTCCCTCTTTTACCTCTCCACTGTTAGCATCCTTCTAGGAGACTTATGCCTTTCTTTGCCCAAAGACTAAATCTCTGCCCCTCCCTATAAAGGGAAACCATTAAGCTGGATAAAGCAATTAAACATAACAATATTTTTTCTTCTAAATATTCTCTTTGAAATTATCTATTTTCTAAGAGATTTTGGTGGTGTTATCTTCTAAATTCCCTTGCTGTGTTTTCTAATCACATTCCATACGCCGATTTAATTCATAAATTACTAAATTAAAGAAACAGAACCATCATAAGAAACCCATCTGTTTGTTGTCATTTTTATAGATTTAATCCGTTAGAAGCTGTTTCCTCTCAAACATGTAGCTCTCAATTATCCTCAGTTACTTAATGTATTTTTTCAACAGCTTCTGGCTAATAACAGATTGTCTGCATGAACAGTCAGTACTTGCTTTGCATTTGCTCGTCTTAGACGAAGCTCCAAAAATCTTGGCCTTCGAGTGAAAATGATTCACTAACAGATAACACAGCAACAGTTGAATAATTAGCGTTTTATCATTACCAGCTGATATTATTTGGTGCATGTTTTCACTTTCTTATAAGCAATGGATTATTTGGGGCTATGTTTCTGGCTAGTCTGCCAAAGTGTCCTCTGCACTTTTAAAAAGAAAAACATGGTTGGTATTTTTAATATTTCGTATATATGCTTGCATGTTTGGCAAGGTAAATGATCTGGTTGTGACAAGCTCATAACCGATTAATCTGAAAGATGTAACTACTAGATCAGATTTAAAGAGRAGAAAAAAACACATGTTATATTTAACACTACACATGCAACTGTTTATTTTAAAAAAGTAGGTATACACTAGATTTGCTTCTAAAACTTAAATTATGAAAACAGACCACCTTATATTTCTGTGGGATGGTAGAATAACAAGTGGTAGTAATAGCTCATAATTAAACACTTTGGCTAATATCTGCCTTGAAGATAACCCTAATCATTTCAAGTTACTTATAAGATATGAAGGGTTCTGAAAGCAGCTACAACTTGCTTTTCCTTCTCGTGCCTGTCTTGTAAGGTTTCCAAAGACGCAATCTGAGGTAAATGGTGTCTTTTTAAAATCTGTGACAGAACTCTTTCCTCTCTCACCTCTTCCTCTGGTTGCCTTGTTACAAAAGTTTTGGGTCTAGGAATCTTCTTAGCATATTCCAGGGCCTAAGAATATGAAGATAACTGTAAGAATTCCACATAACTGGACTTAGAAGAAGAAATGGACTCTTCTTACCTTCTGCCTCGACACTGAAGTTGTAACGTTGGGTTTTGCAGGCAATCTCTGAACAGAGGTAATGTTTTTCATGTTGTGTTCGTTAATTTGCTTTGCATATTCCTTTTGTTGCCTTAACTTTTCTTTCTGACAAAAGGAAACAAGTGTATCGTTAATTAAACATCCCAGTGGATAGATCAATGAAACACTTTCTCCACCGGAGTCTTCCATTTACACCCCTGTTGCTGTTTAACCTGGCTATGTTATTGATCATTCCTCAGCAGAACACATCAGGAAATGCTGATAAATTGCACCATTTTTTAGTTACTCTTCGTTTGTAAGAGCTCTTTCTTGAATTGTATCTTGGATAGAGCTCGATGTAAACACAACAGATGGCATCTTTTATTCTCAGGGGGCTGAAACTATTCCACAATAGTTATCCCTCCATTTAAATCTCCCTCTAGGAAGTCAAAATAGACTGTGAGTGAAGGACATAAGGTCCAAATACCTCTCGGTAATGATTTCATGGCCTTTCTCCCCTGCCTGCAGTCCCTTGGCATGACTGAAAAGCACACCRCAGCACGGGGACCACCTACTTTCTCTCTGACAGCCTCATAGTCCGGTCCAAGGCCTCCAAGCCTCACATTCAGATGTGTGTAGTAGGCTTTCGAACGATACAGCTGGAAAACAAACAGCAGTAACAGGTTTTCCTCTATATGATTTCATGGAGAGCATAATYAGCACAGGTCTTGTAGTAGACACCCAAAATAAGAGCAGGTTTCCAAGTACCAATTTCAGCCTTAGCTTTGGCTATGGTTTGAACTCAGAGGTTGAACTCAGGGAAACAGAGAGGGAGGGAAATGTGCCCTGCAGTTACTATCATAATGCAACTAATTCTTCTTAGACTCATTCAAGCAGCAACACACAAACTGTCTCCTAGATGARGCACATGAGTAATTACTCCAGCTTAGCTTGTCTGCCTCGAGATATGGAGCTAACTTCTTAAACATTTAATTTGTCATGGACACACAGGGATATCTCTGTGCTGATCCACTGCATCTGTGTTAAGTGGGTACAGGTTGAAATCTGGATACACAGAGAAGACAAAGAATCCARTTTTAATAAGGATCACATCAGGATTGTCAGCAGACTTGTAATAATGTTTAGGCTATTAGCTTTATAAATCTTCTAAGTTTGGTGCTGTTCAGTTTGATTCCCTTGGAAACCAAGAGATTTGAGTTGGCTAGCAAAAGAGCGTGACCAGGATARTGGTTTGTTCAGGTCTGAGGCCTGGCTACCTGCTGCTTTATATAAATAGCTTTATTTTAAATCATTTTATCACTGGAATAACTTAAGGGACAAACACTGCTCTGTGTATTGTGAGCTAATCAAGTCTGAAAGTGATTGTGGGAAAAACTGATGGTGAATTGCCTTGTCCTCTAGATTAGAATSATTTGGTTAAAAAAATAGCAGTAAATGCCTTGAATTTCTGTGCCCGTTTGCCCTTAGCTTGTTGGTTTTAAATATTTAAATATGTCAGGCAGATCATTGTGTGTCACTTTGTACTTTATAGAAATAAACCAGTCCTCAGTCACCTTCTCTTTTCTTCTGTGAAGACTTTTGGGTCTTCAACAAACAAACCCCATCAACAAAACAAACCCCACCCTAAACAGAGGAGGAAACAAATGTAAAGCTATCTTCCAGTCTATGCCTGTGTTGTTACCTTCTTGGCTCTAGGCTGGTTTTGCTTTTCCATTTGCATTAGATAGCCTTCTGAGTTGCTTCGGCTTATTTGGACTTGACTTCCTTTGCCCCTCTCTGCATTTAGCTCTGAGCTGCTTTCCAGCTGTGGCTTTGTGGGTGGGAGCAGGCTGAACAAGGGCCTGTCAGCCAAGGGAGCTTCTGTCCAATGAGCTGATTCTTGGCGGTGCTGCTCCAGGGTTTTGGTGAGTTGAGAAGCTGGACAAAGGGCTGCTGGTGAACTGTGAGCAGAAGAGTAGGGAGGCCTCAAAGAAGAAAGAAGGTGTAAAACAGATCTTGATTTCTTAATAGCTTATAGATAACTCAGCAAGAAATCTGTATACAGAAACATCCTTGCTAAGAGAATTTAGCAGGAGCACAAAGATGGAAACATGGCAATTTGACAATGACTTACTTGTTTTGCACTCAAGTGCATGGAGACTGTCTAAACTGAATAGAAAAGATACAGTTGGATTTCTTTCAACTTGATGCAAAGCTAGCTTAAGTCAATGTAAAATGTCCTTCAAAGGCTTTGGATCTGACTTGATAGGAGTTGAAAAGATTCTTTTTGCCTATTTAATTTAAAACTTTTGTTTTCATTAGAACAAGCAAAATCCTCTGTAGGTGATTTTAGATGCAAGTTCGAGGTAATATATAGGATAGCTGTATCACATAAGACCTTACTTTTTGTATTTATTGGTTTTGTCCTTCTCTAATTAATCTGTGGATCATAGTGTTAAGAAAATATTGTGATTATCCTTAAAYTTGAGCTGACCTGAGATACCCTAAATCTGGAGTACACTTAGGAATCATCACTTCCTAAATAACATATCAGGTGTCACCTCTTTGGAGGAAAGACATGGCTTTCCTTCTAGGTAATATACAAATCCATCCCCGATCCATTTAATCTCTGTCAGCACTGAAATCCTCTATTTCATCCTCCTGTCTCGCTAGGGTTCTTTTGTTAGCAACACTTGCAATCACTACATAGCATACACACTCAGAATAACTGCTTAATGGCGGGTATTAAATCCACATATAGAGAAGAATGTTTTGGTGAAAGCTTTAGCACTGCGGAATCCTGGCTCCTGGTGCCAAGATGATGATTTGTTAGCTCGACCTCTGCAGTAACGATTAGAGTTCTGGCATATCGTGCTACCCGTGGAAAGTAGGAACTGCTGCCAAACTGAGACTAGGCCAATGTTTTCCCATTTAGATGGAATCAACATCCCTGGAAAACATAAAGCAAATCTCTTGCAATGAATAGCAGCATCAAATTTTGTTTACTCTTTTAGCAAGTGCAGCTTCCAGTCTTAAGTGAACTGCAGGGAATTTAAACAGTTTGCCTGAATTAGTTCAAATACATTTGATACAAAGATAACGATTAAGGTTTGCTAATAATAGTTCTAGCTGGCTTCAAGTTCCAGTTCTGAAATGCTTTGTTTTTTGCCAGTAATGATATCTGGTCTCCTCTATTATTAACCATTGAATTGGTCTGAAAGGTAAGCCTAAAACTGATCTGTAGATTAACTGTAAGCTGGAGCTCACCACAAATCTTTGTACCTGTCAAATTCTGTTTTATGGTAACCTTTAGATGTACACTGGAATTTTGGGGACCAGGAATATATAATATGGCTATAGGAATATAATAAGGTTTATAATACCCATGAAWCACTAAAAATAGCCATATACTGGTTTGCATTTTAACTTCTTGTTAACCAAATAACRTCCTAAATAGATATCATTCTTGAAGTTCAGAATTTTGGGGGATTAGGAGACCTACTTGGTTTTAAAAGCATGTAGGCTTTAAAATTTTATGGATCATCTGAGTGATTATCTAAGGATCTACATTCAGTAACTAATATTTCAGAGAAGTCTTACAGACTGAAATATTCAAACTGATATTTTTTTTAATATATATTTCAGCAATAATGTTTTATCGAAAAGGAACCTTGAGCTGCTGTGACTTCAGATACCATTTGTCTTCAGGATCCATTTTCATGTTCTGAAATGGTAGGACATTCTGAACTGCTGCTTCATCAACAGCTTTAGTATCTTCAACCTAAAAAAGAAAAAAAAAAGTTTATGGCTGTAAATTAAGTTAGGTTGGACACAAAAACATTTCTAAGTGTTAGGGGAAGAAGAAAAGAATTTATATCCTAGTAAAGCTGAAATGGTAAAGCTAGGCATTAAATCATGGATAACAAGATCATGGATAACAAGATTTACTAAATAGAGATCAAATAAGAAAAAAGCAGAAAAAGTAATAGTATTGTGGYAGTAGTAGATATTTCTTCTGCTTTTAAAGGGAATAAAGAAAAGAGAAATGCAGGAAGTATGCAGCACAGAAATCCACTCGTAACAGACCCTCTCAAATGTCTGGGCTGCTCAATTTATATAAGGGTCAGGAGATGTATCCCCTAACAAAAGAGCAAGTAGGCAATTGCCATTGTCCAGGCACTCAGCCTRTGCACCAAGGCATTAATGGCTGACAAACACCATGGCAGGGTCCTCAATAACAGAGGCACAGGGAAGAAAGAGGGTAACACACAGTAATATTGATAGAAAAGTATAGGGAGTAGCCGTGGAAATAAAAGATTGAATGTGCATAGCCTGACAATGGTATAAGTTTGAGTGAAATAGCAATCTCACAAAGAAGAATACTTTTTTTTATGGTCACAACCATGGTGGCAAAATGGTTGGAAATTGAATTTGAACATTTTTTTTCAAGGGTGGCTGTTGGCACTACATATTTTGAAGCCARGAAATACCTTTGTAAATATGACAAAATGAAAATATTCCTTTGAGATCCCAGTGTTGCAATATCTTTTTCAACCTATGCAATTTCTTTAATTTTTTTTCTTTCCTCATTTATTAACACAGGAGTATTCATACTGAGAAGACACTTGTGACTGAAAGAATTATTAGTTAAAAATCATCACGGTGAGATGGTCATGAAGGAAGTACTTAATCCTTTGGGAAAGCTGAGCCTGACATCTCTAAGGGTGACAGACCAGAACTAGGACAATTTAGAGTTTATTGCAAGCGTTTCAAATGAATCATTTTGCCAAATTTCAAATCACTAGATGATGATGCGGATTCGGTTGCCCTTCAGAAAACTTAACAATTTTCAAGTTTCTGCATAGGTTTCCTGAACTGTAGCTGGACACAGCCTTGCAGTCAGGAAGATGTTTTTGGTGGAACCAACTGCCTCACTGTATTGATGGTTTACTGGGCAGGTAAAGCATACTTCTACATTATCTCTTTGAAAGAGGAACAGGACACAACCTCTGCCAGCATTTTTTGTGAACTATTCTATTAATACCAATCAAATTGAGAAAATGATCAAATGAAATTGCATTTTGAGCATCATAAGCTGTGTAATGCCTATTCTGTTAAATTGAGGCCCATAATTGCTTCTCTACTGAAAAGATACAACAAAGACAGCAATCATGGCATGTCATTATCTCAGACTAGAAAACCGGCCTTTGCAGTGAGGACTTCAAAGGCCCGTGCTTCTCGAATTGCATTTGGCTGCTATTGTGGAAGCGCAGGCAATCTTGATTAGGTGTTTACACTGAGGTAAGGCGCAGTGCACAGAGAGTCTGAGTGCCTTGGTCTAGAGCCATTAAAAAATTGTACATTATGTTCCTTGCTTTGAAGTAAGGGGCTTGTAGGTAGGAAAGCAACTCATATTGAGTACAGCTGAGCTAGATTGGGCTGCTACTTCTCCCTCTCACTCATCAGGTTCTTAAAGAATCAGGCAACACTGCAAAGAACTTGATGTTTTATAAAACGCTACATAGGTGTGTGTGTGTGTGTGTGTATGTGTGTGTATATCTAAGTAAACGTAAAGCTCAATGTACATTTAAGGTGTATTTTGGTACAGACAGATTGCTATCTTTATGCATAGAGGTACTAGTTGTAAATCCTGCAAACACAAACCTGCAAATATTATACCCAATATTATGTTAATTAACTGAAGTTTTATGCAAAGTGCTTTAAGATAAATGCTATTTTATAACCACRACACCTGTCAGCCAACTGGGATCCCATCCATAGAGCTTCAATATTCTGCAAAGCCCAAAATATTCCAGTTTAGAGGGTGGAAAAAAAAAGAAAAGGCATTCAAAGTGYTCCAGATGTCTGATTTSCTTTTCTCCTTACCTGCATTTTTACTACTTTTGTTTTAAGGCAAGGTAACCGAACTAACACAGAAAACTTGACTGATGAACTGAGAATCATGAGCACGGAGTCAAGGTTTGGATTTCTCTGGGTCTGTAATTGTCTAAAGATACTGCTTTCACTCATGAAGGCCTAATGGGCCACTGTGTTTCATAGGAGCACCATGTTACCCTCGCCGGTGCTCGCTGTCTGGTCTATGAACCTGCTGGATCCTAAGGCTTTGGACACCACTTCTTTGCTTCAGGTGTAATGGGCAATAACTGTGGACTCACTGCTATAAGGTATGATGCTATAGGACCTTTTACAAAATTCCCCCATCAGTTATATCCGCAGCACAGATATTTGTTTCTATTAGATACYTGGCAGAGTATCTACACAATGAAGTTCGGATCCCTGGCTTCAATGCTTACACATCTTCAGAATTCCCCAAACAGTAAACATAATCATATCAACGTAGCTTTAATTAGCATCAATYTACACTAATTATTTTCACCATCAAATAAATTATAACTGAAATAAACAAGTGCTCTTAATAGTTTTGCAAGAAAAGAGCTTGTCCACTGTTGCACTCATTGTAATGTTGTCAGCAGATGCCCTCTAGTGTTGTGTCAACTGTTCATTAGTCTCCAAGAATGTGTCACTTGAAAGTCTCCGCAGCTTCTAAATGAAGTATTTTCTGTGCTACAACTCAGTGTAAAAATTTATTTCCATATTCCCCCACTATGCATAATGTAGAGCAACTAAAAGCAATAAACTCATGTATAAATTGTTTTAGGAACTTGAATCACCTTTTTACTTAAATTTTAACCTAAATCAAACATACGATTTGCCCTCCAAATGCAACTATTGTGCATTACTAGCATCTATTGGTGGGTTTCAAATAGAAATTTTGGTCTGGCTGATGTAGTAGTTGATGACTTGCCAGTTCCTCTATAAAAGGCAGACTAGATACTTGTTGGACAATCCTACAATCTATCATTGTAGGATAGATGCCAAATCTACTTACCTGTTACGCAAACCTGAAAGATCACGCAGATATTCTGTTTTAACCATAGGCAGTACATCAGTTAATACTAATTAGAAGATTTGTAGAAGTTCCTACCTGTTCTTGAAGACCTTCCCCTTGCTTTTTACAGTGTATTTGAAGATAGGAATTTCCCATGCGTGTACCTAACCCTAAGGTCCGTTTATTTTTTGCCACAAAGTCCTTTTTTGCTCTTGCTCGTTGATTCTGAATCTGAAGAGAAAAAGCACTGCTGAATGTACTGGGACTATCTTTGAAATKACAGTCTTTTTCAGGTTCCTTCCCTTTAACATGTAACCTAAAAGGTTTCTTGCTGACCACAGCATTTGGTTTATGAAAGTTTAATATTTTTGTATCAAAGTCAGGGGATATAACCTGTGATTTTGCCATCTGTGGAGTTTTTTCCTTTGGGCAGTCATTGGAAAGGAGATAAAATGAATCTTGTGAAAGTTCCATGCTGTCTCTTGAAGGAATTTGATGTGCTTCTTTCACTTCAGAAAATTCTGCTATGCCTTTCATGTTCTTCCAGTTAGGATTGTACCTTAGGTTGAAATATTTGTCCACGGACTGGTGCTTCCTATTTAAAAATAAATAAATACATAAGTACTCTTGAGCCTTATTTATTAATTGTTCAAATTAGAGTTTCTCCAGTGTAAAATTTAGCCTATGATAACCAGCCTGCAAACATGGTCAACTGAAAAAAACAGCTGAGTCTTTTCATGACTTTTTCTTACTTTCTAACCCAACAGAAGGAAGATCAACTACCCAAGACAGATGCATACAGCTTGGCTCCCTGGAGATGGAAAGGCAGGGGAAGGAGTAAGAGGAAAAGGATATTAAGACTGTTTTTGTTTAACTGAAGCCACAGTACAGCCCTGGTCTCTTAGACAATGACAAATGCTGAACCTTTCAAAGTGACGCTTACAGACACTCRATTCCAATTTGCTCTTCAGCTCTAAATCTACAAAATCATCTAGTGTATTCTCCAAACTGACATAGTTAGCCATATTAACACTTCTATAAACCATTTATTGATCCTTTCTAAATTAGTTATGTGTCTATATGACAAGTGGCACCTAAATAAGCTTTTTCTCTGTCAGTACTTTCAACTGCATCCGTGTAAGCATTCGTGCCCTGGTATCCTGTGTATCAGAGACCAGATGATTTACACCAGTGAAAACATGATTATTCATAGCTGYGATCCCACAGGTAAACAGAAATAGGTGACCATGTTTTTGAAACGAATACAGAAATATGTGATACGATTGTAATGATTCAAAGCACAGAGTATAATTTTAGAGAGTTCTATTGTGCTGAAATGTGCACACAGGAGCYCAGTTGTATTGCACAGGCCAGGTCACGGCGCTGGAACAAAACGAGTGTGAAGAGCTCCTTCATCTCTAATCATCTGCAGACAAAAAGTGCACCTTTTATGCCTCCCCCAACTTGATATAAAGGTTAGATGGACTCTGTGCTCGTCCACAGAAGTGTTATACATGGACAACAGATGCAGCGTTTCCTCTTCAAATTCCGAGGTTAGTAATGGATGTAGAGAGGGGGTTTCATATGCATATGCTGTGATATTTGCTCCGGTTAATGGACTATATTTGAGTACTTGCTAGGCTAAGTTCAAACAAAATAAAATCAAATTTCCATTTAATGAAGAGCCTCACATTCAGCCTAGTATTCAGTCAAAAAATTACTAAAAATTAGAGCATGTTTCCAGTACAATTAACATCATTTGTACTCACAATAAAATGTTCAATAACTGACCATTTTGCCTGTTGAGGAGGTGAATAAAAGCATGCTATTAATCATTTAGCCTTCATTTGTTTGCCATTTTATTTTAAATAGACAATTAAATTGAAACTGCACATTATTATTACTTCAGGTTTAATTTAATCCTTTTAAACTTGAGAATTATTTCCAATTTATACAACATTAAACCTTTTATGCATACAACAGTAAATTAAATTTTATGTACCAAGTTAATGCTTTTTCAGGAATGACAGTAACCCTGAAATTTTTAATTTTTGATGTACGCAGTTACAGAACAAAACTGCCTTTATTCAACTCGCCAGTTTTGCATACAGGTTTCTTAYACCAAGTGGCCTAGCTGGTTTAGCACAGGTCTCTTTGCAAGGAATGATGACRGGATGTGTCCGTGCTGGTCGTTGCTTTCTCTCATTTTCAGAGCCCTGGTTCATGATGTGGGACAGTACCCAGCCCACACTGCTAAATACAGCAGTGCCTGATCCCCAGCCCGTTCCAGTAGCTGAACTCCTTCCATTGACTGCAGGCGGTTCTCAATCAAGCAGACAGGTATAAGAGTGGATCTAGTTTAACTGGCCTCTACCAACAGATTAGTCAAACGCTTCATCTTTAGCTTCCTTGTTCTGTCTAAGAGTAAGGGTGGAAACAGATGAACACTCTACTTCCTCCTTCATTGCTTTTCTGTTTGAGAGGCACATAAGGAGGCACCTTTGCMTGGGAAGCCCAGGGCCAGGATGGGGGAGCAGTTATGGGTATGTGGGGGAGGTTCTCAAACCTCTCCTTCCTACAGTGATTTTAGCATGAACAGCAAACAACTGGGGCACTGCTGGAGAATGGATGTAATAATTATGAAGGAGGGTACAACAGCCAAAAAGTACAATTTTGCATCTAACTTTAGTCTCTGGAGGCCCTCTATAGTACTTTCACCATATAAATTGTTTGTGAACATGTGCTGCATGCTGAGACAYGTGGGGCTTTAAAGTGTCAGAACTATTTCACTGCTCTACTAAAATCTTATGCCTTACCTTCCATTACTAGCACTCTTCTGCATTCCAGTTGTGTATGGATCTGTGTCACGCTTGGCTCCTTCTTCCTCTTTTACACTCATCTCCTCCAAGCTATCTTCCAAGCTGTCATTCTCAAACTCGTCTGARGACAGTCCTACCAGTGCTTCATTTTCACGAACCCGCTGCTGCAGTTCTAGCTGATATTGTCTCTCTTGAGCAAGGCTTTCAAAGTCGGACTCTCCGGTGTCACGCAGACCTGCAGCCAAGTCTCCTTCGCTTACAGGTGGTCTTTTCAAATGTGCAGGATAAAAATGTGGTTGCATGAATACCCTTCCAGGCAGGTCACTTGTACTCATGTTGCAAGTGTGTGGAGAAATATACTCCCTATGAAGAATCTACCCAGGGTTTCACACTGTTGTATTTGTCCTGTATTTGGAAAACCAGAGGGTAAAGTTGTTCACTGTATGATAATGATCATATCTGTTAAAAGTCGGAACACTTGGTAATATCATTGACCTAAGCTCAAAATTTGTCTTCCATAGCTACAACAGTTCTTTATTGTGATTCCTTACTATGCATATTAATTTTCCTTTGCAGGCTGTAGCTGTTCCTCCTGTGTCCTCACCTCACGCTGGCCACTGACGGGACGGGGCGCTCACCCTGCAGCCAGGAAGGAAAACCCAGGCAGGTAGAGAAGTTTTCCTTGGAAAAAAGGCGCCTTTTGGTTAGGTGCGAAAGCGCAGTGCCTGCCCACGGAGGTGAGACCTTGYTTAGAACCCAATTTGGGGGCCAGTTGCCTTACCCCGAGGCATGGGGCTCGGCAGGGCTGCTCGGGAGTCACCCCCACGGGACTCCTCTCACCCCAAGCCCCCCTAATCCCCCAAGGTCTCGCCTTTCCCCCCATTATCCCTCCCAGAGCCCCGGGCCCAGCCCGTCACCTGCGGCGCCATTCCCGCCCCCCCACGTCGCCATGGCGACGCCCGGACGCCGCGCGGCTCCTACCAACGGCCAGGGCAGGGGGGGGGAGCGCGGCCCCTCCCTCCCTCCTTCCCCCCCACCGTGGTAGCGCCCGGCAGGGCGGGAAGGTGGCGGCAGCGGGCGCGAGCAGCGGGCCCCGCGCTCCAGCCCGCCGGCGCCGAGCCGCGCCGGGAGCGGGCAGCACGGGGCGCTGCCTTGGACGCGCTCCGGGGCCGCCGCGCTCGGCTCCTGCCGCTTCTCCTCCCACCGCGTCTCTCAGCAGCCGCCCGCCCGCGGGCGCCGCCATGTTGTGCGGGGCGAGTCACGTGAGCAGGGCCACGTGCGCSGCCGTTGGCCCGCGCGGCGCCATGTTGGGGCCGGCGGCGCCATGTGCGCGGGGCAGAGGAAGCCTGCCCGGATAGTGTTATGTTGTTAGTGCTCGCCCTTGAAATGCACGAGGGTTAGGCACCTTCGGGGTGCCTACCACTTGCATGGTAAATAGGTATTTCCTACTGTGTCCCAGGGGTGCTGCTGCATCGCTTTGCATTTCATATAATATGCTTCATAGCACAAAATACATTTGTTCTTAAACGTGTGTCATCACCAAACAAACCTCACAAGCTCAATGTAGGAAGAGGATGCTTTATGTTTCCCTGTGCAGGTGTTAAATAGCATAAGCGTTGCTGTTAAAGTGGAGGACAGGCTGCGGGATGTCAGGGTTGCAACAGGCGAAGCAGCCAACAACCCCCCTACTCCCTCCCTGCCCAAAGGACTCATTCGATGTGAATCGGCTCTTGAAATTGGGCAGTCTGTTGATCAGATAGTGCTTTCTCTTCACCTTTGCTCAAGTTTGAGAGACTGTATGGATGTGGCAACGAGGTGCTGCAAAACAGCTCCCAGATGAGGCATATTGAGCCTTGCGCAGCAGGGAATGATGCTACTGTTTTACACCGAGCAGCTAWGGCAGGAGTCCTGTAAAGGGACAATCTCTTTTTAGCCTCTCTCACATCAGGATCTTTTCCCGGTTGGCTAAATACACCTGGATATCCAGTTCTGGTCAGCAGCACGAGATGGTTGATATCAGACTCGACTGCATCTCCCAGGGTTTCCTGCTGAGTCCCGTGCTTGGAAAGTGGGTGGCAGAAGCATTACATGAGTAGCGTTGTATCTTGTGATCTYGGAGGCTTACTGTGTGCTCTGGTGCCAGCACCCTAATTGCTGGGGTAGATCAGCTCTATTTCTGTCAGCTGGTAGCTAAATCCTCAGAAGATTACAGCTGAATCAGTGCATTGTTGCTAATAGGCTTGTAGGAGCACCTGTCCCATCCACCTATGTGCTGTTTAAAAGGAAGTGGTCCAGTTTGGATTGAGGATTTTGCTTTTCCGGATGTCGTAGTGATGGCACAACACTATTATCAATATTCAAAGCACAAAAAGTGGCTTTCTGGTATAGATTTGCTGTACTAAACTGTATAACTGTACTAAACATCAGTTTCTTTTCCACAKGCAAACAGTTTCTCAGCTATTGCACAACTTTTGTCTGTTAGATTCGTCTGTGTTGTTTCCACATGTCCTTTTGTTACGCATTGCACATCACACTTCTGATTGACAGCTGAAAAATAAACACATTTATTACTGGTTTTGTAAAGAGTATTATATATGTGTGTGTGAATGATGTGTTGTAAGGCTGATTACAAAGCAGCCCAGTGACTAACATGTATTAGAAGTGATTTAAATGTATTGCGAAATATTTCAGGAAAAAATAAAAGTTGTAAAAATATGGTAAAACAGTCAGTAGCAGTGATTTGACGGGAATTGGAATGGGTTGTTGAAGCTTTTTACCTTGTTTGTTTTTCTCAGGGCCTGGATTGTCCTCATTAGACCTGGATTTATAGCTCTCCAGTGTCTGCTCTGAAGCATCATTCTCTGTGCAGATAACAAATGCAATTAATACGATGAAATGTTTCTATGCTGCTTGCTCCCCCTCTGCCTTGAACATAAAAATCCTGGAAGACTGGTTGGAATGACTRTTCAGTCATCCTGAAGCATCCAAGAGAGCTGCTGCTTGAAACAACAAGTCCGTCCCCTCCTAGCCTCTGAAATAAGTTTATTTATTGCAATAAACAGCATTTGCACTCTTTATTCTGGCAGTGCCATCACTCACCTCTCTTCCACAGCCCATGAGCTTTTTTCAGCTTCCTCATGAAAAGCGAGACGATGATGAGCAGCACAAAAATGAGAACAGCCACCAGGATGGGCAGCAGAAGGTTTTTCTCCTTTTTGATGCCTTCATTTTTCATATCTTGCTCTGTAAAAGAAGCAGACACAGACAGAGTCTTTAGTAATCAAAAGCCATCTGTCCTGCACCAGGCGAAATGTAAATGGTAGCAGTGCAGAAGTCCTCTTTGGGCTTATTTTAAGGAGATGAGATGTTTTGTTGKTGGTGGTGGTATGAATATGAAAAACTGATTAAAATCAGGGGTATTTAGCTTATTCCTACATGCTAGGAGTGGTTTTGTTTCTGTAAAATCTTCCTTATATTATTAGCTGGCATTACCCTAAAAGTACTGAGTGGGCACCAGTTTGGTGCTGGATAAGCCCCATGCCGGTTTGGAAGCTGTCACTGGAAGGTTTTAATTAGGGCTTACTGAAGGTGCGSGTGGTCATTGCAGTTGAGTTTTCACTGGCTGGTGAGGCCTCGGTCCTGGGAAGTTCCTCTGTGGCTGTTCCGTTGGAGGTTGTTTCGGTCCCTGGGGAAGCAAAAAGGAAAACTATTTTTTTTCAAATGSCAGAGGAATGCTTAAGAAATCCATGTTTTTCCAACACCTCTGAAGCAGGGGTTTGTGGTAATGCAGCAGAAAGAGACTTAGAATAGACCCTGTCTTAAAGTTTTGCTTGCTTCCTTAATGTTATGTGTCCTTTAAATCAAAAGACGAGCTAAGCTTTAGGAGCATCAAATCCTCAGAACCTTTTACACAATGTTGAACTCAATGGTTTTCATTTACAGCCMAATTAAAACCAAGCTTAGCTTTGTTTGCTCCTCTTTGCCCTTCCTACTTGGTCCTTCTCAGCTTGCTTTGCTTGCTTGCAAAAACGTACATGTGACGATGTCCTTCTCTCTAAAGCAAATACTTTTTATTTCAGAGTATCTTTTGGTGTCTTCCTGGTCTTCAGTGGTACAACACCCACAGTTTGAGAAATACTGTCACACGGACGCTATCATGTTGCTTCTGGTGGCGTAACGTACCATTGGGGAYGTTGTAACTCCAAGTGCCAGAGGGTTCCTCGTCTCCTGCAGTAGCTGGTGTTGTTTCTGACCCTGTGGAAACGGAGAAATGAGTTCTGCTTTTCCTATGCACACGGATACTAACTATATCATTGTGTAATTAACTTCAGTTTGTAATGACTTTGCATATTTTGTCTACCAAAATTTACATTATAAGAGATTTTCTTATCAGCTCTGTATGCACATCAGCTGAAAGCACTGCTAAAAGACAGAGGCTCTCTGTCAATATCAAAAACTTGCTTGTCAAAAGAATGTTCATTCCTAAAACAGGCAACTGACTTCTCTCAGYTTGTCCTGTAACACAGGGCAGGTGCTTACTCAGGAGGTTAACTGATTTGGGAAATGGACCCTTTATTCCTTTTGTTTGGGGGGGGTAGTTTAATTCTTCAGTTGAGTAAACACCAMATTTGCACGGATTTGCATGGTGCTAAATGCACGGATCTGTCTTTGTTGCACACTGCCACCTAGTGCAACCTTTCAGGGAGATCAGAGGCTTAGCCTCGCCGCTGTAGCATGTGGCAGCCAGAAATAATTCTTCTGCATCTAAAAGGAGAAAAGCAGTCTGCTCTTGTGATTATCATCTGAGGTGCTACGAAATTAAAAGAAACTGGAARGAAAACTTACCATTGTATTGTGGGTAGGCAAGAGAAAAGGCTGCACTGCTGTTCAGGTCTGAATTTGCTGGGGAAAAAGGTGAAAGAGTTCTGAACACCGTGGAAATATTCTTCAGTGCTAACAGCAACTGTTCTTTTGCTGTCCAAGGTCTGGGTAAAGACACTCTAAGATATTTTCTGTGACACTKGTGGTCTATGCAGGAATTGAAGGCCAAGCAGTTAAAGCCTACCTGTTGAGTGCTCCCGCTCTGAGATGGTTGTATCGACGTCTACTGCAGTTGGAGCAGAATCTGTAGCTGTTATTGGAAAGAAAAAAAACTAACCAATGGTGCAACCTTCAGAACATTTTATAAGCATCTGTTGAATCAAAATAAATCAAAATATCTAAGGAGAACTGAAGTAAGGATTATTAGGTCCCTATTGGTCATCCACTGGTGATACTGACCACTGACCCCTGGATAGAATTTTTGGGCAAGAGGCCTCAGAAATAATTTACAATACTAAAACTGTACTAGCTTTCCACAGGGGTGTGTCTAATGCACTGTACACGTGAGAATCTCACAATTCTTGTGCACATAAACACTTCAGATTTTCTTTCAWTCTTTAGGGCATGCACTAGAATTTTAGCAGCAGCAGCAAACTAAGTCTGGCTGCTAATGAGACCAGACTGGGCTGCTGTGACTTAATCTCAATGACTTCTAAGCTAGCTGAGAAGCAGAATAAAAGCTCCTAAATTTTATTTGGTAGTTCCTCTTTTGCCAGAGGTAACGCTTAACATTTAAAAGCATCTTCCATACAGAGGGCAGCAGAGCACAGGCTTCAGTTTTGCGTGTGCCCAGCTTTAACCATGTTAGAGGGGGCACAGGGAGCAGCGGGTGCTCCAGGAGGGCACCCATCAGTACCAGGCGGCGGGAGGCTCCCGAAGCGGAACGTTGCCGTGAGCTGCTCCTCTCCCAGCGCCCGGTGGCGAGCGACGCAGGTGGCCGTGGAGCTGGGCCTGTGGGCCAGCACTGTGAGCGTGCTGCACGTGCTCCATCTCTTCCCGTCGCCTTCTGCCGTGTGCCGAGTGTCACCTGTTGGAAGAAAACGTTTAAGTGGTGTTCAGTCAAGAGCAGTTTAATGAAAAGCCTCTGAGGTGCAGCCTATGTTACTTTGCTGTGCTCGGTAATCACACACCGCTTTGGCACAAGTGGTTCGTTGTACAAATGGATTGCACTGGAGCCCAAAGTCAGCAAGGGCCACGTTCCTTCCTCATTCTCYTAACCCAAAGCCTCCGCTCTATTCCATGGCTCTCTGGGGGAGATTCTCCTGCAGGGAGCCTGCTCACACATGCACTGCTGCCTTGCAGGCTGCAGCAAAGTGTCCGAACACCCACCTGGACTTCTGGCTCCTGCAAAAGGAAGGAATTGCCTGGTTGTGTGGCCTGAAACACGGAAGAGACCCAAGTTCTCATTCTCCTGCATGACAACCCAAGGGCATTAGACATATGTCTAAATAGCTGTGAAATTGTTAATCCAAGATTTAGAAAAGTTTTTTTTACTATTTTTTTTAAGATTATTACCTTAACTGTCCATCAGGGCACAATAATCTGTACTGTGTATTTCTATTGTAGATGTTCTCTTGAAGTCAACTAGGGTTTTCTCTTCACTTGTTACCCTCAGTAACATCTGTACTCCTTCAATAAGAGAAATTCCTTGATTCTAAATTAGCTTTTGTAGAGAACTCACTCTTTCACATAGGCCAGCGTTTCTCTCCACTCTTACCATCTTCAGTAGAGTCATATAAGGATACTTGATAGGGTTTCAGAGTGTTTTTGCTAGAAAGGAAGTAGTCTTTAATTACCAGCAACAGCTTAGTGATTACATCTAGTTTGCTCCTGCTGGGCTGTGGCGAAATGGAGGGGCTGCCAGTAATTAAACTATTTGAACTATTTTCTGATTATTATAAATATTTGCAGTTAGCAATGAAAACTGAGAATGGAGGGGACAGGAAGGGGCGTTTCTTAATGATAGGCACCTGCAGAAAGCTTGAGAAACTCAGAATAAGGACACTTTGTCTTTTCAAATAGACTAATTTGCCTCTGCCACAAATGGGCCACATGGTGAATCAGCACTTGTGCGTGTAAATATTTCTCATCCCAAGCCATCCTGAAATTAACCACCCAAATGAGGCCAGCACAGGCTCTCTGGTGYTTAATTACTCTTCCCAGATGGTGGTGGGATGTGAGGTCAAAGGTTAAGTAGTTCCCTTGATATAAAGTGCTCTGGGAGCTGCCTTGGGCCCCTGCTAAAAGTCTGATGTACAAGGAGGAGAGAAAAGTAAGTACAGAGTTTTACTGAGCTTTGGTGGAGAAACGGTTGGATTTACATGCTTTGGAAAGTGCCTGTTGTCTCTGAGTTGTGYATTGTAACGTTGCAAGTGTGTTTTATACTGAGCTCCTCTTAAGTTTAAGGAAGCCCCTCTTTACAAGAACAACAAGGCAAAGGTATCTAAAAGCTTAGAGCTGACATGCTGCTTCCCCCACTCCTACAAGAGGTGTTTTCCCAGAGCCCTGTCGAGTCATGCACGTCCTAGCTCCTCCAAAACATACATGTGATTTTAGAGCCTGCTTTTTCAAAATCTGTACAGGAATAGGGAACATGTTTTTCCCCTGAAATCACAGATACCTCATTCCTTCTGCTTTCATGTAACTCAATTACCAGTTAACTTCCTTGCAGTATAGAGCTTTATGCACTTGTATTAATGCTTGTATAACAGGCATCTTGGATTTCATTTTTTTAGCCTTGCCTTCCAGTTATATTCTATATTTGGGCCAGYACACCTCTCTGTTGGGTCCTAGTCACAATAGCCTCCCTAACCTGCGTCACACTAGTCAAAAGGAGGTTGAGTGGTGCTTYGCAGAGTGAGTTTCACCATCTAGTGTCTCTAACCATGTCCAAGGTTGAGAAGACGTTTGTAGTAACCCTTTAACACTTACCGGGAAGCTCTATCCCGTTGTCCAAGAGCCAGCTAATGCGCGGCTGTGGTTTGCTTCCTCTGGTGCGGCAGGACAGTGTGAGCCTTTTCTCTGCGTCTTGAGATACTTGCACTACTGGCTTGGAAGGAGCAGCTGCAGCAAGAAAGTTTGTAGTCAGTTGTATGTTTTTCTACTCTTTTTTTTTTTTTTTTTTTTTAGAAGACGGCATACGAGATCAAGGAAGTCTTAGCTAAGGGCAGGTTTATATCATGTTAGGCACCTTACAATTGCATGCAATTTCCAGCACTGTTGTAGAAAATACTAGTTTTCTGTTAGGTCTGTGTGTAAAGTCAAGTTATTGACATGAACTCACCTAAAACTTTGACAGTTTTGTTCTTCATTTGGAACGGGGTGCCATAGTAGAAGCATCTGTATAYGCCTTCATCATGCACTGTTACATTAGACAGTCGAATGGATAATTCTTCCTTTGAATAATGGATGAGTTTGTACCTCTGATCCTTTAAACCTGTAGGGGAAGGAAAACAGCCTCGCATGCAATGCATGTTGGTGCATAAGCGCAAGACAGATAATCCAAGCATTACTGCGTGAGCCTGCTTTTGTTTGGTGCATAATTCTAGTTCGTAAGCACTTGGCACACTGAGCGGTTCTAGCATTTCTAGCTGATGCCGCTCTAGTGCAGAGACAGCAGTAAGYGGGAGTGTAAGTGGACAGCAGTGCTGCCGTGTGGGGAAAATGGGGCTTATTCCCCTCTGCTTTAATCTTTATCAAAATCCTTGGAAGGAAGTTTAGCTTGACAAGTAGAAGGTGTTTTTYCAGTTGTCAGGAAAGCAAAGGCGAGTCCTTGGCTTTGACCTGCACTCTGTGATCTTGTGCAAGTTGTTTGCTCTTTGCCTCTGTTTCTCCAAGTAAATATCTGCCTCTTAAATGAACTGAAACTGAAGATGTTTATTGGAGAAGCAATGTGACAATGATTTATGTTGGTGGATCAGAATAAAAAGTGAAATTGTCCCTGTACAGTGTGAAGTTTGGTTCCTCTCTGAATGAGAGGAGCTCCATCTATTAAAAGATAATGATGCTTTAAGCCCCATCAAGCACAGTTAAATGTCTCAGTCTATAATTGTTTGCACAGAATGTGTGTGACTGTAGGCAAGGATTTGTTGCTTGCTCCTACAGTGCAAAATGAAGGGGACATGTGTATGTAAAATGCAGAGATAACTATGATGGTGAAAGGGATTAATCCTAGGTCTTACAGTTTTGGTTACATAGAAGGGGAAAAACATCTCCCCTAACCTGCTGTGATTCTCCAACACGGATGTGGAAGCAGCACCGTGGGGTTGAGCTGGCACTGTGCGGTATCGATTAGCTGTTGGTGCCTCAGCTTTGAGGGGCTTGGGATCCCGTTAGTATCTAATGGTAYGTGTGCTGGGTACCCAATACTGAATTCAGGATCCTGGACTTCCTAGCATATGGACATATGAGTCATTTATGAGACTTTAAATCTCTCTTGATCGTTCATCCCACTTGCTCTTGCAACCGAAACAATAAGAGCAACAGTTATTGATGACATCTTCCATGCAGAAATATTGCAAATCCTACTGGAAATGCTGTTTGTCAGGACCTTGTGGTAGGGATTTCCTAAGAACAAGCCAAGGGGACAGTTTCAGTGGGAGCCACGTAGCCAGTATTGTCCGGATAAATCCCAGGCGCTATGATCCAGACTGGGGTCAAATGTGGATGGAGACTAGGTGGATCCGGAGCAAAGAGAAGGGCAGCATGGTGGGTGCCGTGTGTGCACTTACCCCGCTGGGCGTCCAGGAAAATGGCAAAGCCCCGGGGGTTCAGCCACTGCCGGGCAGAGCTGCTCTCGCCACCGAGACTGCAGCGGAGAGTTAAGTCCTYGCCCTCCGTCACAGTTATGGTGTCACCAACCGCTCCTGGAAAAACCCCTGTCATCAAAGGGGAAAAAATAAAGCATTAAAATGTGACGTGACAGCCTTCCTTGGCAAGTAATGTGGCACCTTGTGCTGTTTGTGAGTGGTGAAGGCTTTCCTATGCGACACACCTTGCCAATATGAGTGTATTGGCAGAACTTACCAGGCTGGTGTAGYTCCCCAAACAGATATTCTAGCAAATGAAGTATGTTGGCTTGCAGAGGTAATATTAGCAGTGCAGAAGCCCCCWGTGGAAGCGAATGCCAGTGGTGTGGCAGGAACCTAAAAGCCTGGTGCAGTTATTTTACAGGCAGGAGATAAAGAGGGGTTTTCTCTCCAGACATTCTGCGATATATAATACACTTTGTGAAAATACTTTATGACCTGGAATGAATTGTCTTCTGCCATAAAAGCGTGCCATGGAGAAGTTGCTAAGAGCAGTGCCCAGGTCAGAGTTAAGTCATAGGCTGTATGAGGATTTTATTTTTCATTCCTGTTTTGCAGTTTTATTTTTCAGTTAGCTGTCTGCAGCACATTCCTGCTGTGTACATGAGTGCTGCAGCTTGGGGAAATGAATCATTATGGCCTTGAAGAAAGTTTTTAATTTTCTTAAAAATATTTAAATAAAAACAACAGAAATGAAGGGCGCCTGAGCTTTTGCCACGAAAATCAGAGGGTGACTTGTCTCTATGTGGAAAAAATTTCTCTTGGGGAACTGTTGGTGTTTCTCCCCGTTGGCTTGAGTACATGGGGCATTTCTTGGGCTGGGATAGCTTGCAGAGGAGTGGTAGTGTAAGGAAAACCTCCTTGCGTGAGTTAATTTATAGAAACATGCATCACAAGCTCATATGCTTAAGCAGCTCCTAGTCTGTGGTTTTCTTCAGGGCTTTTCTGCCTTTTCGCTGTTTCCTGTAACTAGCAGCAGAGCAGAGCCTGTCAAGTTGCACCTTCAGAGGTGAGAAGCCAGCCTGGTTCAGAAAAGGTGGGGGTTTTGCTTCCCCCACAGTGGGGGGCACTCGTAATTTCCATGTGTGGCCGTGGCTCCATTCAGACTATGACTCATGGGCCGAGTTTCCTTTCTCTTATGGGGGTCAGTCTTACGTGGCTGTGGCCTTGGGGCTGCTGTAGGCCGTGTAGTCCATGACGTGCACCCTTCCACGGTGTGCAAGGTGCTGCAGAGGACAGCGGTGCTGCAGCCAGAGCTGCTGCCTCTTTCAGTGAACAGTTCTCCACCAGGGTTGTGAGAGCAAGAGAAGGAACTTGACCGTAAAGGACTTAGATCCCTTTGTTGCAACAGAAAGAAAGTAGAAATCGCAAGATTCAAATGCCTCGTGTCTTCAAAAACCTCAGASAGAAATTACTGCGTCGTTTCACTGTTATTTTAACCTACAGTCTACTGAGACATCCTGTTCAATCGGCTATTTTTGACCTCTTGCTGTGGAGTGTCCGCATTAATGGTAGCAGTCCCGTGCGAGCCGACCAAGAGCACCTAGGTGATGTCGGTAGGCAGCAATTCACAGGGCAGGAATGACTGCAATCCCAAGGGAATAGGGCTTGAAGGGAGCCAAGGCCGCTGGGCTGGAGCAAGTCTAAAGAGCAGCGCGAAAACTAGTCCAGCTAGGAYGTAACTGACAGGCTCTTAAGGCCTGACTTCTGATGAGCACAAGCAATAATAAGAAAATACTCTCAACACTGTTTTGGCATTTGCTGAGAAGGGAGAGAAATTGGTTTGTGACCTCACTCACACGCACATATCTCGTGTAAAGATCAGGAATGAATCCTGTGAAAACCGCTGCCTGTAGATAACAGTATTGCTACTTCTGCTACTCAGGTCTTTTGATAGGGGACTTGGTCAGATATCAGTCTCACAGTTGTGTATAAAAGAGGAGATTAACAGAACAGGTATAAGCTACATCTAAAAGAGGGCATTGAGCATTTAAAGTGTTKTATAGTCTCAAAGTACTTTGCAAACACTTTCTAAACTACCCAGACTTTTGCATCTTTTCACAAAATGTATGAACAAAGCCCCACCAAGGCATCCAAGCCACGAAAAGCAGGCAGTGATCCGCTCCGAAAAGTAAAAGGAGAATCTTTAGATTTCCCGGGGCATGCCAGGAGATGAGCGGGTCTCACGGATGCCGTGTCTGCTGGAAGGCAGCCCTCTGCCCGGGGTGCCGCTCGGGTTTGGAAGCAGGGTGCGAGCCCGTGGCGGGGCAGGGGCGCGAGGCACTCACCTGGCGCGAGCAGCAGYGCTGCCATGCGTAGCACCCGCGCGACGCTCATGCTGCCGCTCCGGCGCCGCTTCCTCTCCTCTCCTCCTGCTCTGTGTGCAGCAGGTCCCTTCTCAGCGGCACGGACGTACTCTGACTTCACCACCAGGGTCTGCGCCTTTTGTTCTTTTTTTTCCCTTTTTCCTCCCTGCTATTACACTCTTCTCTCCCCCGCTTATCACATCTTTCCTGTGCCCTGGTGGTTGCTGAGAAATAACCCTGTTCACAGTTGCCCCCACAGTGGGCGACAGGAGTGGGACACGTTGACCATGTGTCCCCTCCAACGCTGTCTTACTCAGTGCTGTCGTGGGGGAGAGTTTTAGCAGAAAGCAGAGTTAAAGGCCACAAAGATTAATATAATCAGTCGGGTTGAAGGAAAAGCCGTGCAAAGGGATAAAATTGCAGCTGCAGGAAGACCCCAGAGCAAGAAAGCAGGTATGTATTGTAAAGCTAGGCAATTCTCTGCCTTAAACGTTGTGCTGCCAGTTCTGCATACCCAACCTGTTAATAAAATAGCTGTTGGGGGATGAAGGCTTTAGGGGGAGCCAGCCATGGAAATCCCATGGACAGCACCCACCTCAGCTAAAGCAGTGAAACCAATCCTTGCACGGCACAGGGGAAGCAAAGCTCATGATAGTTTTGTGCCATCTGCTGTCAAATAACTGAACTTCACACCCAGGGAAGGGAAGGGAAAGCTGAGCCCGTGGAGGCTCCGCTGCCCTTTCCCGGGAGCAGCATCAGAGCGGGCGCTCCAGGGAAGCCCAAGGAGCCCTTGGGAGCAGGGACGGGCAGGACGGGCACGCGTGGCATCTTCAGTGAATCACTCGCGAACTGTTTGTCGGACTTCTGAGAAATCCATTTAATGTGATAAGCGAATTAAAATGCAGTGGTGGTTTCCACAGGTGTTAGCATTTGAAATTGAGGTTAAAAACAACCCACCAACTCCCCCAAATTAAAAAAAAAAAAATTTACAGATGTCACAGTTAATTACAGCTATTTTTGGCAATACAATTATTGTTTTTATAACAGCAAACATTTTTTTCCTCAAATAAATACAATCTGCTCACGCTAAAAAACATAATAATGATACAACAGGTTTAAAATGTAAAGGAAAAAAAATGTATCCATTGTTAACATCAGGTTTTAAGAACTGTCCACAGAGAGAAACTTCAGAAAATACATTTTAATGGGAAATAACAGAAAGGAATATTTTACTCTTGGCATATTTTGAGCTTTGTTACTTAATTGGAAAGAGAGGGGGGGAAAATAGGAAGTGTTTTCCTGTAGTTTGGCTTCCGTACGGTACTGTGGTACCTGGCTTACGCAGGGTAATGAGACTGTTGGGATATGATGCAGCTCACAGTGAAGATAAGGAACAGACTTTGACTCATTTTAGATAGATCAAGTCTAATGATCTCTGAAGCTATGCTAAATATACGTTAATGAGCATCAGTGGAATAAAAGGGGAGCAGCAATCCCTTTGTGTTTTTAACATTCACATTGAAAACTTCAAAGGAACATCTTTTTCCTTTTTTTCTCTATGAGCCTCATGAGCATGAGATTACTTAACACAAAACCCCCAAGGGAAATCAAAATACTCAAAGAAAATAAGATTTTCTTTCTGAGATTCTAGATACCTGAAAAATCTAATATGAGAAAAGACAATTGTCAAAATACTTTCCCAAACATCCAAAAATATACTTTTTTTTTTTAATGAAGAGAGTATTCTAACATCTCTACCTTCTCAAAGAAAACACTTTTTTTTCTCTCTAACGCATATTATATGCAAAGATCAGCTAGTACAGTATTTGAATTATGTGCATTTGGGTTTTGTTCCCTCTCAGTTCCATGCTTCTGCCTACAAAAACTCCTTACCTGCAGTGGGACCTGAGCAGCCTCTCCTGTGTTCCACATGCAGTGTTTCCTACGCCTAGTTACATCTTGCTGGCTTGTGACATGATACAGTAAGCTATCTAGGGAATTCTGCATTCATCAAAAACCATTAGTTTTGGTGTGATTGTCCTCTATTTAAAGAACTCTGCAAACTTGCAGTGAGGAAGCATGGAGCAAAACAGGCCAGAAATGCTCCTCAGAGTGTCTGTACACAGCTGAGAATAGTTTAAATTATAGCTCAAAGTGGAAATGACAGCAGGACCACTGCACAGGAGCAGTTTTTCTGTCGTCTCTTAGGTTATCTCCCTGACTCTTCAGTATACATCCCTAATATAATAATGCACTTATGAATGGCCTACTACATCTTACATAGTCATCAGTGTATAAATAATGGATACTGCTACACCTATTGCACAGGGGAGTGCTCTTCTGCCTCGAGRTACATGCAGCATGTGCTGGGCTTGGCCTGGCATTAGCCAAGCCAAGCTGTAAGATAAAGCTGAGCTAAGACCCTTCAACATCTCTTAGGCTGGAGCTGATGAGCGTGGTACCTTACTGAAGAACGTGGGACTGCAGTTTATCACCGCTTGCTTTTTCTGAATGTTGAATGTTTACCTGGCTTATGTTCTACTGAGGATAAAGTGAGCCCAAAGGCTTGAGAGGTTAAAAGAAACTAACCCCAAATAAAATTTGGCCTTGGCTATGAATAGCAAGCGTTTGTGAACGCTGGCTACTAGAAGTTTCTGTGCCATATAATCCTTTCAAACGAGGATGCTAACGCTTTCTGCAGAGGGAAAGCTGTAAAGAACTGAGGCTCCCTAGGGTGTCAAGATTTATTTATTTTTTTTTTTTGTGGCACTTCTGAGTGATATTGTGTCTTCTGATGTGCAGACTTTGTCTGTAAGTGATGTGAGATTCCGAATTCTCTCCCGATGCAGAGTGGCATCGCTGCTAGCATCCCCAGTGTGCTCAGCAGGGTGGTCATGCGGGCACCTAATGCAGCGCTGAAATCGAGGAGGAGAACGGGCTGCTGCTACCTAGAGAGGAACGCTGAGCTCGCCTTTTCCAGCAAGTGACGTTACACTCTATGAAAGGTGCTGAGACTGTGGGGGTGCTTGTGAGGAAGGTGTCAACACGTAGACCTGAACAAGCCTGTTAATGCTCTGCAAAAAATAGCAGTAAAAAAATTCATTCGATGCTCTACTTTGACACAGTGCTAGTTGTTATTAACATGGTGCAGAAGGCAGTGAAAGTTACTGGTCTTATCGAGCTCCTTTCAAGGTGGAAAAGTCTACCCGAGCTACTGACTGAACGGAGGTTCCCTGCAGTGCAAGAGCTCTAACCTGTATTCTAATGCTTCTTCCCCCAACTCAGGCTCTTCTGTGTTTGCCTAGGTGCCTATGAGAACTTTTGCATGACTATGTTTGAGAGATATGCTAGAACAGCTTTTTTGTATGACCCACTTAACATACGGTGACTATTTTTTCCACTGTCGATGAACACGAGAAAGAAGAGCCGTTCTCCAGTGCTTAGCAAGGCCGTGGTTTGCCTTGGCCTCGGGGCTTTGCCTACTCTTGCAGTAAGGTTTCTCTCCAGTTAAAGCCTCCAGTCGGTCCATGTGTGAGAGGGAGGATGGGGGGGTCCGTAAGCTGCCAAACACCTGTGTCTCCCAGCTCTTCACACGAGCAGAACCCCAGGTACGGAATCTGTGGGAAGAGATACGGAAATGAAGTGSGAAGGTGGTAAGCAGGGAGCAGGGCCTGCTAAGAGCAGGATTAGTGCTGGCACTTACAGCACCTCCTCCCGTGCTGCCTGTGACACGAGTGACACCCTAAGCTTTCTTGGTGTCATCACTTCTGAGATGGGTGGGACTCAGGAAGGGCTTGGATGGGGCAAAAGGAGCTGCGTGTCCCATGCCTGGGAAAGGAGCTTGTGACTTTCTTTTCTCTCTTTAAAGCCAGGAGTTTTGTTACTTTTGTGAATTACCTTTCGCACCATCTGCACAAAGTCCTTGGAGTTCTGTGGCGAGAGCCCTTGGAGCTGGCAGGTACAGGCCTCCAGGGAGGACGCGTGGGCCACGATCAGGATGTTGTTCCCTGGAAGCAGGCAAGGGACACAGATGGCTTTAGGACCTCGCATCACGCTGAGAATTCAGATGTGCAAAATATGTTCAGTTTAACATCTAACAACACCTGAAATTGTGCATGTGGGGGGAAAAAAAACGTTTTATCAACACAGAGCATTCCTCGGGTAGGAGTATCGGAGCTGTAACACTTACCTTTGCCTTTACATTCACTGATGATTTCTTTTGTTACTTGGTAGCTCCTACTTATGTATGTGTCATAAGATTCTGAAACCACTAACTTGCTGACAGGAATATGAGGTCTGCAAGCACAAAAAGAACAAGCAAATGGAGAGGAAGTTATAAACGTAAATTACTTAAGCCCTGTCTGTGATGCAGCTGAAAGTATGCATTTCTTTGACTTTCTTAATGACTCAAATGTCCAGAGCCACTTCTTGTGTCAGGACTACTTCTGCAAAGGCTTACTGGAATTTTAAAGGTGGTTTTAAAACCTCAGTACTTATATCTTTACTATTCCTGCAGTAAGCAAGGACCATTAGTAAGAGCCTGGAGTAAATAGCTCCATTAGCTAGCAAAAGTGGTGGGAAAAAATCCTCTAATGTGGACCTGTTATTGGAGGCAGCACATTAGCTGCTCACTGTATACGTAAGGAGCCACATTCATACAGAGTTCACCCGTGAGGTATAGTGCAGGAGTGGAACTGGGTGACCTTTTTAGTTTCTTCCTTTGTGAGAGCTCTTTGAGTCTGGCTTGTGTAAATGAGCCACAGATTTGAGAGCAGGAAGATCATGTTGCCTGTTCTTGGGCAACAAAGAACAGGCATTGCTCGGTTGCAGCCATGAATCCCAGTTTCCCTTCACACTCGGACTGAAGGTTGTTCCCGCCAGGCTGGCAGGGAACAGGTATTTGTTTGCAGTGATATTGGCAACACTCAGGCTGGACATGGGGCTAGATAAAAGGAAAGCAACAGAGCCTGGAAGCTACCAAAGGGCTGATCTCCTGTGCAACCCTCAGCCAAAACACAACCCAACGTCCTCCCGCCACCTTCTGCTACCTGTAGGTTGTATCAACGCTTAGAGTAGCTGCAGCTAAATCCACGGGGGGTATCCAGGCTGGTAGTGTGTTACCAGAGACCCACTTGGTCCATTCAAACAAGCCTGGCTCTATGCGAATTTTCAGGTTGTTCTCTTGTTGCATACCTGAAAAAGAGAGAAAAGAGACCAGAAAGTGATGGTAGTGGCTGAGGAGGAAGTGGGCAAGATTTTGCAGCTTTAAAACTTCAGTTGATGTTCCTCTAAGTAGTTACTTGATTAATACTAGGTATGAAGAGATGGAGTATTTGATTGCACTCCTACAGGTGCATCCAGGTGCTTAACCATATATAATTGTGTGCATATATACATACTTCCACTGCCACGGAAATAATCATCACCCTGAATTACCATCTGCTCGGATTTCCCATGCCAGCTGCCCTTGGAGCTGGTTGGCAGCGTCTTCCCCGGCAAGCRGGAGGAAGGCAGCCTTCCTGCCTGCCGGCTCCTACCTTTCAGGATATAGTGTGCGGTCTGCACGCAGCGCAGGGACGGGGAGCTGTAGATGTGGTCTACCACGGTGCTGCTCTCCAGCAAGGCTTCACCTGCAGGCGAGCGGGAACAGCCGTGAGGAAAGGCCGAGCAAGGGGAGCAGGAACATGCAAACCTGTTTTACTTTAGTGTCTGCTAGGTACTGTGGCATACACAGCTGGAATGGGGGTATATTTGTCTATGTGCCTTGCTCTTTATGCATCTAGGTGCGTAATCACCCTGCGAGGGATGCACGGCATCTTTCTGAAGAGCAGCATCTACCCTCTGCTTTCCTCTGGGCAATACTACCATTTCTGTCTCTCAGGAAAACAAATAATTCTTAATGCTGGGGAAAAATGTATGTAGATTTTGAATTTCATTTATAAGCTATAAATCAGAATAACTCAATTCAAACTCAGCTTAGTTCAACTGGCTTGGTTCTTGGCTAGTTACAATACCTTTTCATCGCATAGGTGCAAGATCACTGAAAATAATCAACTGTCTCACTCACTGTTGCGTTTTTTGGTGACATTTTAGTAATGGCATCTTCTAGGGTGGCACGTTTACAGGGAAATAATGAATGGTTTAGCAGTTGTACTGCTGAGGTCTGACTTTTTTATACCATATCCTACGTTTTGTGGTTTGCCTTTTCTTCAGCTAGAGTGGCAGGATGAGACAAAGTTTTCTTGAAAAGAGGSGCTTGCCAGTGTTGAGACTTTTCAAAGAAGCCTGAAATGGCAAAATCCTCCTATTCACCTAATTAGTGTTTTTTCTGCCTTGTACTTTCTATTTCTCTTCTTGGGGTGTRGGAGGAAAATACCACAGCTCTGGGAGGGACTTGTTGTCTGCTGAGGACAACTTACCAACAAGTCTTGCTTGCGTACAGCCCAGCACAGTGATGGGGGCATCTTTTTCATAATCCCTGAAACCCCCGCTTCGTTGAGGTAAGCTGTGAGGCATGTTCAGGTTACTGCGCATATACCTTCCTGCGAGGGAAAGTCGAGAAGCAGTTGCTGGAATTACTAGTCCAGAGTCTAAACCTGGAGGCTAAGCCCCTTGGGAGCTGACTCACCTTTGCCATCAAAGCACTGCGACAACCAGTACTTCCCAAAAACCACATCCATTCTCTCCCCGTGTCTGCAGACAAAAAGGCAGCGTTTCTGAGGGCCGGGTTGAGTGGCTATCCTCAAGGTCTGGAAGAAAAATCACAGGATGTTGGACCRCCATGAGAGTGCAAGTGTTTTCTCAAGATCTAATTTACTGACTAGARTCAGGACCGTCCATCTCCCAGTTGATCCTAGGGCTAATATGGGTACCACGGGTTTCCTCTGCCATTGAGGAGTTTATGCTGGTATAAAGCTGAATGACAAGAGGATGGGACCCTGCTGCCCCAGAAGGTGTTTGTGGACAGGGAATTGCCTCTTTGTCTGTGTTTCATGATGCATTGAAAAAGCCTGTAGATAATTTGAAGCTTCCTGTGCAAGCAGTGAGAGGAGACCGTAGGATAAGTTGTCACAGACAAGGTATTTAGTGGAAACTTGCCATTAAAGCTGCGTGTGACGWGTGTTGAGGGGAGGTGCCTACCTGCATGTTCTGGCAGATGATGGTGAGTGGCCCTGCATCACCAGGTCCTTGGTCTTCCTGCTGACGTCTTTCCAAGGCTCCATCAGTGAAGGCTTGAAGGGATGGGGACAGTGCAGTGTTCAGAATTGAGTACGAGCTGCCAAAAACAGGAAGAAGGTGGCTGTGGGAGGGCTCTAGACCGGCCCTCCGGCCTCAGTAAGGACGTTTGTGTTGGAGTTGCTGTCTCTGGGCTTTCTGCAGTATAGATGTGAAACCCAACTCATATATTGCCAGTCTATTGGGTTACCTTTAAGGGACCACTGTTAAGGTGAAATGGAAATGGAACAACCTTTCTTGACACTTCAGAGATACAAGTTGTGGTGTAAAGAACCAGTGGACAAAATCACTGTGTGTCAACTGAACTGCCTCTTTCAATTTTGGCTGGCATGAGGAAAAACCTCTAATGCTTCACAGGGGAGAAGACAGAGGAGAAAGCGGAGCCGCAGCCCCGCTTGTCACTGTGCTGGAGGGAGATGCCACTCAGGCAAGGTGGAGGAAACGTCTCCATCACGGTGTGGTGTGGCTAGTCCCCAGCTCTGTGTAGGGAATGGCTCTTCTGCCCCATCATTCAGCATTACTTAGAGCAGGAGGATCCCTGGAGAACATGAGCCAGCCATTGTTGCAAAATGGGAGGAAGAAACAGTGGAAAAAACCTTCCGAGGYCCCAAAATAGCTTGAAAAATTAGGATTGCTTCTCTCCTTCCTGCTTCCTCTGCCAAGTCTGATTTCCCAGGCTTGTTAAACGGGCAAGAAATAGCTTTGGCCTTCTAAAAGGAGCTGAAACAGTCTCTGAAACTGTAATATCTACAGTACAGCTTCTGTCCATTTTGGGGAAGAGGAGGGGAGAGTATTTCTGGCTTGGCTGATAACAGCAGTCAGGGAGCCCCTCCAGATTTTAGATGTCAGGTGCTCCTGGTCCACAGCTAGCAAGCTAGTCTATTTTCTTTTGCCATGTGTCTTTAAGTGCATATAAGTGTATATACTGCATGTTTGGGGTTTGTGGCTCCTGTGGGGAAACTGCATTCTTGTACCTTCTCCGGGCTTCCCACTTGCTCTCTGGGCTCCGTGTGCTGAGGATAGAGGATTTCTTCTTTTGACTTGGTAGCCCACTAATATACAGAATTAGTAACAGAAAATACTATGCAAGTGTTCATTGGGAGGCTTTCAGGTTGATTTTTAGGTGCAGATATTAACAATGTTGCTCAGCAGGATTAAAGGTTTGATCAAATACCCCACAATAACTCTTGTGTGGAATGGCCAGGCGAGCCGTGTTTCAGTGATGRTCTGAATAATCTGTACTGTTCATTTGGAGAAGGTYTGTTAGCGTTGAAACACAGCTTGTTGCAACTACACTCAAAAGCTTCAYGGCTGTTGTTTCTTTAAGCTCTGGTAACTGGAGGTCTTTTCTTTTCTTACAAGGGAGGAGGAATTAAGTGTGATGGTAACACACTTGGGATAAATAGGATTGTTCTGTTTGACTAGCATACATAAACCCTTGATTAGTGGCGCTTATTTCTCAACAGGCCATAAAGGGGAGGAAAAAAGAATAGCAAACTGTGACAAGAGATATGGGTGGTAAACAAGGGATGTCTTGCTCTGCTTGTCTGTGCCTGATGGACTTGGGGGTTATGAAAGATTTGGAGCTGCTCAGGGCAGGGTCCCTGGCAGTCACACCTAAAAGCCACCTGGTGATTCCCCTGTCACGCTCTCCATCTCTCACTGACCATGCATGTGTGTTAGACCTCCAAAGTCACAGGCAAAGTGCTCTCCTATCCCCCAAGTGCTAGGTTGGAACTGGTATTTAAATAATGGCATGAAAATCCAGAAGCCTGAGTCATAAGCAGCCCAGAGACACTCGTCACCTCCTCCACTGGCCGGGCACATCGCAGCTGCTGAGTGACAGCAGTTGGACTGAGCAGCCTTACCTACCCATGAAACACCCAGGTCCCACATTCGTCCGCCTTGGTGATGTAGTTCTCGGGCAGCAGCCCAGAACAGCCAGTTGCAAGGGAAATGCCGTAAATCCAGCCCTCGCTCGTACTGGTTTGTTCCACTGGGGACATGAAAATAAAATCCCCTGGCACCAGCTCGAGTTCGTCATCGTTCTGGGGGGTGTACGGGTAGATCACTTGCAGAGTCTGGTGGAGAAAAAGAAGCACAAATGAATGAAAGCATTGTTAATGCAAGGGAGTCTTGTGCAGCGTGGGGCAGGGACACTTCCATGGCAGACCTTTACCTTCTCCAAGGTAGCTCTTCCATAATGCATCCTAACTCTGTACAATTCCTGCCGCTTCCTACTCCTTGCTGTTGGAAAGGGTTTTTTTGAAGTCTGTGTGTGTGTGTGGGGGGGGGGTTGACTTTGGTAACCAGGATGGAAAGGAGGGGATGATTATTTAGGCTTTGTAACCAGGGTGGGAAGGAGGGGATAATTATTTAGGCTGAGCAAAAATATAAGCATGAGTCTTTAATTCAGTATCCTGTTAAAAATGCAACTGTATTGCAAAGGAGAACATATGGAAGATAGTTCTGGCGAGGTGRTCAGTGGCCATTGCTGATGCTCCTTGTGCTTGGAATAAGAGAGGGGTTGCCTGTGTGCTACTGCTTGGAAGTCAAGGCAGGGGCACTGTTGTGGGCTAACAGCTTGGAATCTATGATATGTTGCTTTCAACCCTGTACTTGAGAACACACTAAATAACACAGGCAATGGGCAACACCTGTTGTATCGTTTCCCTTGTATTTCCTAAAATAAATAGGGTTAGGTTAAGAGGTTGAGGCCTAAGTGAACAAGAGTCATCGTTAGAATTAATGAATCCAGCAGGAAAAGGACCTATTGCTTCAAAAAACAGGATTAATGACATGGCAAGCCCGGACAGCATGAGTAAAAAGCACAAAAAGGGAAGAGGGCCTGCTGGTTAAAATGCCTCGTGGGGTGTGGAAGGCCTATGCACAGAGTCCACTGGCAGGACCTCCAAAGGACAAATCCTTAGTGTCTGTGTGGGCACAGGAAAACCCCATCCAGCCTGAAAGGACTGCTAGATCCTCTCACTTTGTTTTCTTCACCCCCCTGGAACCTGCTCCAGAAATTACCTCGTGATTAACAAAGCGGATATCTCGGGAGAATATCGCAGCCAGCCAGTCGCAGCCGAGCTTCACGTCGATGTTCTGCGCCAGCTTCTCCAGCGTGGGCAGGTGGCTCGCTTGGAAGTGATAGGCGAGGGTCACGTGCAGCTGCTTCTTATGGGGCTCTACGTGGACATCTGCAACAAAAAGGTGCCAATTAACAACTGACCCCATGGGGTTCCGCAGGGTGCATGTCCATTTCCTCGGATGTTAGCTGCATTGCTGGCTCACCCACCAGGTTGCAGAGTGGAAACTGATAACACATTCATTCAAAGTGATTCTGCAGGGAGAGAACCTATGCTAGGGAAAGATTTAAGAAAGCAGAAAAGTGAAAGCATGTGAGATGTTGGAACTGTTCTAGTAGAAGTGGAAGTCATGGGATTCATTGTTTGTGTGTAATTTATTCCTGCTTATTCAACCAAAAATTGCAATTAAATTTGACTGWTTATTCAGTCAAAATTGCAGCTATTCAGAGACTTGGCTCTAACTGCCAGCCACGGGACGGCTTTTCAAAATCATCTATCTTGTTTTTCATTAGCAAGAAAAAAAAATGCTCTGGGTTTGTGAAAAAGACTTAGTGCGATAACCTGACCAAGCTGTGGACTGCAATGCAGCAGTCGGGACCAAGCTGTTTGCTCCCAGTTGGAACCATCTTGGGGAGAAGTCTGTTGGAAGCTGGTGATGCTTTTTCTGATGAGTGTTTTGGCATGAGAGCTGCCCTCTAAGTGCTTTGGTATGGAGGGCACCTGGATGCTCTGCAGGGGAAATCCTGCACTGTTCTCACGTGGCTGCTGCTCTTTTCCGACCCGGCTGGTATCTCTTCACTGCCTGTTCATGCTGCATTCCCTTTGTGGGAAGCGCATCACATGGAGTGAATCTCTTGGTTCTGGAAGCTGTTCGATAAGGTTCCTCTCACAGAGCCATGTTTACACCTCAGAAATTCAGCGGAAAAGCAGCTAGAGCCCTCTTAMTGCAGGGGAGAGCTCGGTGAGAGCCAGTGAGCTGAGCAGGAAGCGCTGAGCCTCACAGGCAGCGTCTCTGAAAGGTTAAGGAACCGCCAAATGTCAACTTCCCTTTCAGGAGATAACGCTCAGAGTGAAGCGTGAGGTGATGTTTGAACTGAAGAAGCGCAGAAACCCCGAGCACTCGCTGGGGTGTTCCCCTCGCCTCTCCCCAGCCTTCAGGCTGCTGCTCAAGCACCCTGCATGAGCTGCGGGTGCTTAGATATGCAAGGCCTAGCGCACGCAAGACGGCAACAAAGCCGCCCTTTGCATTGGCGGCTGAGAGAGAAGTGCAGGGTTTAATWACAGGTAGTGCTACACACCCTTGTATAGGAAATTAAATTAGGCAGCAGGGCAAAGACTGCTATTTGTTTTGCAGTGGTCATTTTAAAGGCTTTTTTATGATAAGTCACTTTGTTGGCATGAATAAAATATCTTGGTTCGTGAAGAAGGCGGCTGATTGTAGGAGTATTTTTTGATGTGTCAAACAGACCAAACATGAGTTAAAAAGAGCATTACTACACTGACATTTACTGCGTGCTTAATGACCATCGTGCTTCAGCTAGCAAATAGTATCCTAGAAAGAAAATCATTCATTTTCTTTTCTCCTGTCTTTGTTAGAATGAGGTTGTTAGCTCACCAGAAGTGGTTCTCCTAATTTCTCTGTGAGGAGCATCTCTTGGAGCCTTTCCTGAGGCTGTTGCATTTGCAAGGGTGCAACAGGACAGAGGTTTTGGCCAAGCTGTGAGCGTTTCGCGGGTGCCTACACAGCCACTCACCTGCTTTAGAAGCAGCCTCTGCTGCAAAGTCTGCAGCAAACTTCTTGAGCACCTCGGCACTTTCTTCCTTGACAAAAAGCCCGATGAAATTGGAGGACGTGTAGAGCTCCAAAGGCAGAGGGGCAGGGAATTTGCATTTCCATCGCATCACAGTGGCCTGCAGGGCTTCAGTGAGAGCATCCACCTTGCTGTCTTCGCACTGCCAAGGGGAGCAGGAGAGCAGAGGAAAGAAGCAGGAGAGAGAGCATTGCTCAGTAGGGAAATGGAAGGCATGGGATGGATACTCTTCCTATCACACTGTGCGGAAAAGCACAGGGAGAAATGGGCAACTTGAGAAGCTGCCTGCCCATCCTGGTCCTAAAAGCCAGGATCAAAACAACTTKCTTAAAACCCAATGACCTTCTCCACAAGCCCAGGCATCAGGCAGTGCTAGTCCTAACCCCATGGAGATGCCAAGCACAGGGCTCGTGTAACCCGTGTGCCGTATCCAGCCTGGACCTGGCAAGGGCTGCTCACCAACGCATGCATCAAGCAGCAGAAAGAGGAGCTGGGTTTTACCATAAAGAACTGGCAGAGGGTGATGTGTGGGAAGATGTTATGAGCTTTGTTCTTCCCGCAGATCTGTTTGGACTGTTGCCAGAAGTCAGAGAGCTTCTGAGCCAAGGGCCCGGTGGGGCGCAGGTAAAGGACGTACTCCCGAGGCAGGCTGTCATCCAGGAAAGGGTCGCCCACGTGGGAGAAGAGCCTGACAAAGAGAAAGCAACGTCAGAGRGGAAACTCAGAGAGGCCTTTGTTTCATAGCAAAAGTCACCTTTCCCTGTCCTTTTATCATGCAGCAAGAAATCGGCTCTGGTGGGCTAGGAGGAGATGGCAGTGTCACCTGCAGACCCCAGGTGACAGGGKTTTTTTTCTCTCTCTCTATCCTTTCTTGGCTATTACTTGAGGCCCCAGACTGTCCCAGAGGATGCTTACCTCTTGTTTATTATTTGCAATGCTTGCAGAATAGGTCATTAATTTTACTAGTGTTTTTCAGATACCACCCTCATTTAAACAAATAACACAGCTTCTCCAACAGCATTTCACAATCTAATGGCTGATATCTTAAAAACATAAAATTCACTTTTTAAAAACGTTTATTACTTCATACCAACCAGTCACATGCTGCTTGAACACTTCTTCCACCTGTGGAGGCCAGGGCCTTTTGCCTGAAGAGAGGGCAAAAGAAAGAGTATTTCAGTGCTGTTGCATTAGAAGCAGATATAGCTCTATCTGCCGCTTTAACCAAACAAGACAGATGTCTTTAACCTCATACAAAGCACTACCTTAATCCCTTCTGAACAGGGTTGTATATTACGAATACTTATGGAAAAGTTACAGAAATCAGGGGTGAAGCTTGGCTTAAATAATTACCGCCTGGTGTTTTTCTGTGTGGTGGAGCCCCTTATTTCAGAGCCCTAGTTATTAGCATGTAGTGATGTTCTGCTAGCGCCTTGCTGAGCACAGAACTGGGAGGGTTTGGATGGGCAAGCGCGGTGCTGCTGAGAACAAGGCAGTTGCCACGAGGGGGCACAAAGCCCAGGCTCTGGTGCTGGCATYGCTCTGCTCAGACCTTGCTCGGTGGGAAGCATCGTCACCGTCTCCCCTTAGGTGTGTGCACAGTTTCACTGCACCTAGGGCAACCGCAGTGTTCTGCAAGGTGAGCTTTTCGGTTACAGAACAAACCAGTGCACAGCCCTGTGCATTTCTATGGGTGAGACATTGGTGCTGCCGTGCAGCTGTGCATCAGCTCCGCTTCGCCGCGCTGGTGACTGCCGAAAGCAGCAACTTGCCCAGAATGCAAAACGCATAAGTATTTACACAGCAAAAACTGTGGATAAGGGAGGCAGAAAGGCAGAGAAACATCAGGGCTTTGGGGCAGAAGTTGGCCCCTCAGCTTGGTATCAGGTGGCAAAATTTCACATGAACCAATAATTTCGTAGTGTGCCTTTGTGTTCTGATCTGTGATGGCTGGAAAGGCGTTGGGATAACCAAGCGGGAATATGGGGTGTTACCGCTTGSTGGTAGACACATGTTGTTGACTCAGCTGTGTTTCAGTCTGCTCTTGCTTCCCCACCCCTTGAATATACATATTTTTTGCTCATTTTGAGAGTAAGAGGAAGGCAGAAAGATAAAGCTGCAAAAAAAGGGCTGTGTTGCAAATGTGTGATTATGAAAATGCTTCCTCCTGAAGCATTATCTGCCTGTGTTCATGTGAGCTCAGCACAGTGCTAGTCTGTGCACCTGCCCTCTGGAAGGCTGTTCCTGGTGCAGCCAGCGTTGTTGTTGCTCCGTGCTGTCTTGCTGCCCTTGGCCTAGTCTGCCTCRGGTGCATTTTGCCACCAGCCCCTGCTTGGCTTTGGAAAGCCACCCTCCAGAAGGTGCACAGCCCGGACGGAGCAGCGTGCAGCTGCGCCTCAGTCTGCCATGGGTCTCCTCCAGCCCGGCTTCATCCTCCCTTCGCTCTCAGCTGCCTTTGCCCAGGTCACCTCCCCTCTCGCGCAGGCTGCTTACGCTTGTTAAAATGCTACCAAAATGTGACTYTCTCAGCCACAGCTCTTGCGTGGAAATGGTCTATATGCATCGAACTCAAGGTAGTGAATTAGTGTATTAGTGATAAGAAATATTAGGCTGGGCTCCCTGCACTTCTGTTCATGACTTATTTCAAAGGTGCCCATTGCTTCCATGGGGATTAGAAACTCCCTTTTCAATTAAGCTTTCATTGGAAGGAGGAAATGTTGCCTACCATTAACAAAAGCCCAGGTATATTTTTATCATGGGACTTGACGCTAAAAGACTTATTATTATTTTTAATTTAGTGTTGAGCACAGTGATGAAGACTGATAGCAGCCTGATGGTCATTGGGCAGGTTCTGCTGCAGCACCGTGTCGGGCTATGGCTTAGGGCCTCAATTGTACTTGTGACAGCCAGCAAGTGTTGGCCACACCGTTGTGGCCAGCGGTTGAGAACTGATTTTGTGATATGGGAACGGAAAGAAAAAGGCTGAAAATAACTTATTTTTCAGAATTGGCTAAGCTGCCATCACACATAGTCATGCATGATTACAGCTGTATTCAGAGCAGAGGTGAAAGGCTTTGTGTGATGTTGCCAGTTCCTTGAGCAACCCAGAGCCTCCATCTCCCAACTGCTGCTCYTTCTGAGCTATATAGTACAGGTCATATATTTAATAGCAGTTAACTAAACACAAGATACCAGTTTGGAACAGAAAGTGAGGTAGATGCTACATTGAACCACAGCTCTGGAGATGCAGGATTTACTAACAGCACTGCAGGAATTGTAGCTGCTGTGAAAATTGTATTTTTTCATTCTCTAGCCTCAAAGGCCTCCCTGTGCCATTCTTCAATGTCAAGTCCCAAGGCAAGTCTGCCCTCACTAAATGGCTAGTTAAACAGTACCAAAATATTGCTAGGGAGCCTCCCGGCTCCGCGTGGGAGGTATTAGAGCAGAACCGGTGTTAGTGCCCTGCAATACATACTAATGAGTAAAAGGGTGCCCCTTGTAACCTGAGCCCACAGCGCTGCATGCCCCCCAGCTTTGCTAATCCCTGCTGAAGGATTTCTGGCTTCTGGGGTTTCAGAATATTAAAATAAGAAAGCAAGAGGGGATGCCCATTCAGCTTGCGGAAGCATTTACCAATAAACATGAAGTACACTGGCAAAATCCCATTTACTTCGGAGGCAATGATGGTAACGGGGAATGATGCATTAACTGTCAAGAGAGCCTGCAGTCTCAGCAGCACCGCACAGCAGAGCTTCCTCCTTCCTCTCTAATTGCTCAGCTTTTCTATTCCAGTTCAACCCCAAGAACGTAGCTCGGCACCTTCACGGCAGCGGAGGCRCCGGCAGCCTGGCGCTCAGGTCCGCGCGGCTGAGTCCCGGGGCCGGCGGGAACGCGCCGCCCAGAGCAGCCTCCCGCTTCCCCGGAGCGAGCGCCGCTCCGCTCCCGTCGCGGGGCCCTCCGGCTGCCGTGTGAGCAGGAGCTGCATGTTYGCAGGGGCTGCAGAGCGTGTGCACCTCGCAGCCGCCCGCGAGCGGCCTCCCCGCCGCACACACGGCGATTTGTGAATGAGCRAGGCGAGGACGGCGCAGCCTGCTCCGGGAGGGAGGGATTACACCTTCCCCCTTATTACGTGCCTCCAGCCTCAGCAAGCTTCTTATCTAGCAGCAAAACTCCCTGGGGGCATGAATTCATCACTTCAAGAGGCTCTAAGTCTTTGGCCCGTAAAATATTTAGCTATATAAACAAAGGTTTGTTGGAAACTGCATTAAACATGATGGAAGAACTTGGCTTTCATCATCATTAGGTTTACTTTGAAGCTCCCTGACGTGATAAGATAGGAATTACAGATCATACTTTATGCCAGATTAGGTTGTTTGAAAGTGGAATGCTGTGAAGTACAGCATCCTTTGTTAGGATTATGAAGTAGCCCCTTCTTGCTTGCTTGTCTATATATAACTAAATAGGTATATCTATTTAAAAAAACTTTTTCTTTTTTCACTTTATGTTGGCTTGTGTTACAAGAATAGACCCAAAACAGTGGCTCGCTGCAGGGAATGCTAAGAGGAAAAAAGGCCCTTTTTATGTGCAGCRCTCACGGCTGTTTGGAGCTTTCTTTTCAGCCAGGGTACAGGTTGGAAGCCTAGCAGTCCCCGACCCCTTCAGCTCCTGTGGCAGACTCGGCACTGCTATGGAAGGTCCTGAACTCAATTCCTTTCATATAGCAGTATGCGAAGGCAAGCTGGTCTATATTATTTGCAAACAGTAGATTTCCTTTTTTTTTTGTGTATTTTGTATCCAAATTACACATCAAACAACCTTTATGGATTCCTATATTTTCACAGTTTTCATCAGGTTATTTATGCAATTAAGAGCGCAGTAGTGGAGCTGTGTCTATTCTAGGCTTTCAGTAAACAACTGCATATCGAAGAAGAATTTTGCAAGGAAAGTTTCTGTTCATATAGTTGTTGGATTATTGAATATAGGGAACAATAACCAAACTTGAAATAATTTACTGATTATCTCAAGAGTTGTTTACGGGCTGAACAAGCAAATGGGGTCATTCTTTCCAGGTGGTCCAAATGGGCTATTCAAATGTGTTGCTTTGAATACTGAATACTCAGAATTCAGTTGGCCACCAAAACCCATGAAATAGTGTTTCTGTTCTCATTTGGGTGACCTGACTTCTATAAATAGGGTAGGATGTGAAGATATCGCTAGGGATCGAGTTCCTGATTAGGGTGGGGGTTACGTGTGTTGCTTTTCTGTGGTTTGAAAAAAATACTCAGGTATTTTTGCAAGGAGGAAACTACCTGACTGCAACATTAGAGCATGGCAGGAGGAATAATTTCTCTTCCCTTCACTAAGCTCTGGTTGGAGCCTGCAGACGTTACCTTTGCCTATTCTCTGCTGTTCTACAGAGCGACTCTAATCGCAGCTACATCCTCCGCAGAACAGTTCATTGCTCTGTGCCCAGATCCACTTCCGAATGTGCAGTTGGGTCCAACATCCTCAATTTAGGCCGGCATTGCTAATAGCAGCTCACAGCTACGTAATGACTCGGGTCTTTCCGAAGCGCAAAGCTTGGAGAGGCGCGCGGGGAACTGCGTGAGTGCACAGTGGCTACAGAGACTGCAGGATTTCAAGCTGTGCCGTATCCTGTAGGTCACACAAATATTTACAGAAGGTGCCTGACAGCATGATAAGGCTCAGTACTCCTCTTCCTGCCCCTTCCCAGGCTGTGCTGCTCGCTCCCAATTACCAAAGGCGACTAATAGGAAAGAAAGAAATGGGAAACTCTGCTAGAAATAGGTCTGGGCAGTGTACCATTGGGAATTGCTACTTTCCATAATTTAAAATACTACTTTTTTCAGAGGACAGTCCAGCTGGCAAACTGCAGTCTGGCCACAGGATGATGACAACTATTTTTGAATGCAAAGAGTGCGGACTTGAGTGTGTGCCTGTATTTTATGTGTTCTTCCTTTCCTTCCCTCTTYGTTATGTAAGATTTTGAAGGCGGATTTTTCTCTTTCTTTAGCACATGTGCACTAAGTCATTCCTTAATCCTCTGCTTAGCCAGCTTGTTAAAGGAAAAAAGAGGGAAGTACAGCCTCATAAAAAGCATCCAGGATAAAGAGAAGAATGTAGCAGC